CCCCAGTGAGAAGCCACAGGCCCCTAAGCTTTGCTTCAGTTGGAGGCCTTAAAAATTCTGCGCAGTGCAGCGAGCAGTGGTCTTGTGACCGAGTGCAAGACAAGGGTGCTCTACCCAAGGCTTGATGCCTCATCTTTTAAGGAAAAGTTTCTTAGCATCCTGTCATTGCCATTGGAAACTAAGTTGGGATTTGCCCTTTGGGGTTCTTTCATGTAAGTCTGGAGTCAAACTTTCACCTTTGTTGCTAGGAGGATGAGGTGTGAGGTATTTTTGCTCACCACTTCCTCCCTTCTAAACCCTAAAGCTGTGTTTCTTCACCTCTGGCCTTTTTTATGTAGCCCTCAGCACCATGTGACTACTTCCTCGTTCTAAGTCACCTTCAGTGGTTCTACCTTAACCCTACACGGCTCCACACTTAGCTCAACAATGGATGACTGGGTGTCCCTCCCAGAGGTCACCTATTGATCGGTAAGGTTGACTGAGCAAATTATCAGCTTCTCATCTCTGTTTCTACCTCTGCCACTGGAAGTGCCCAGCTCTATATGGCCATGTGTGATGAAACTTTTATTTGAGCCTGGGGTTCTAGATTGTGACTGGTTTACACAGTTGTGCAGTGCTTAACATGGACACATCCTAACAAATACATCATAGGAGACGGCACTACTGTAGGAGGTAAAGCTTACTACTATTTAGGCTGTATAATGATAAGGGATCATCCCCATGTGTGGGATCCTTCCTAGATCAAAATGTCATTATCAGAAAGACGATATACAGAAATAGAATGCATGGCCTTCACCATCATCTCTGTGCCTCAGCCCATGAATTAACTAATTGTACTATCAGTAGATGGCTTCATAAGTGACAAAATGTCAAGCAAAAGGTAAGGAGCAGTCACAGCCATCTACTGAAACATATGCACATAAAACCAGCACATTCTGAAGACTCCTTGGTCTTTTGAAGCCGAGTATGGTGGGATATACCTTTAATCTCAGCATTGAGAGGCTGAGGCAGGAGAATCCCTGTGAGTTCAAGGCCAGCCTGGGCTTCACAGTGAGTTTAAGGTCAGGCTGAACCATCTCAAAAAAACACTCCTAACAAAAAAAGAGCCCCTAGTCTTTCCCAAGAGTTTGGGAATTGAGTGTGCTTTTTACCTGTATAATAGAGCATTAGGATAGAATCAAAAAAGGAATAAGGCATTCTTTTGTTTTGCTGTCTAAATATCCCAATCCTTGTATTAACATAATTAAAATTCAGGCAGACTAAATCTATACAAAGGAGCTCAAACTCGACATGTCCAAGTGAAATTCTTTTTCCTATCCCTGGTACCCTCCCAGATCCAACAAAGATAGACTACCTACTCCATTCCAATGTTCCTTTATACAAATTAATTCTCCACCAGCCAGTGAATACTAGATTATGACAGTTACTGCACACCCTTGCCTCTCTCAAACATCTTTTTAATGAACTTGTCCCTTTTACCCCACTACCGCTGCTGCTTAAGTTGAGACCTCCATCGTTTCTTTCCTGGACCACCGCAAAGTTGCCTTCTGTGCTCTCCTTCCTCTTAGTCATCATTTTTATCTGCTACTCGAACCACACTTTAAAGACACACATTGGATCGTATCTCTTCCTCCATTAAAATATTTCCCATGACTCCCGTTTCCTGCAGAGATCAGGCCAAAATTCCCAATGGCTTTGCTCCCATGTTCTCCCCTGCATTATCCACTGACCCTACTCCATGCAAATGGTCACTCACTGAGTCCAGAAAGTTCCAGACTCTAAAGATTCTTTGCCTTTGCTGCACTGGTCTCTTGCTCTAGAATGCCTTTCTTTAGCACCTCTGAGACTCAACTCGAAGGCTCAATTTATGTTGTATCTTTTCATTCACCATTTCCCAACTGGACCTCCACCCTAGCCAGCTCTCCCCCACGACCTACCCACTCCTCTAGAGACCCAGAAACACTGAATGAAATTTGGCTACATCACTTAACACATTATTTTGTAGCTACCTATAAGCTCTTCATGGAAAAGGTTGTCATTCATTTATTTTGCAATGGTTAATGCAGAATAATATTTGATATTACTGAATTAATGAGTAAAATGAATAAATGTATATCTTTAGAAACAAATATTTTAACATAATGCTAGTTTTGCTCTATAATTATTATATTGAAAAGAGTGACTAGAACTAAGTTAAAGTCAAAAACACATAGAGTTGGGACTGGGGATTTAGCTCAGCGGCATAAGCGCCTGTCTTGCAAGCAGGCAGTTGTGAGTTCGATCCTCCCCGGTACCGATAAAAAGGAAAAAGACAAAAAAAAAAAAAAACAAAAAAACAAAAAAAAACACATAGAGTTAATTCTTAAACCAGAATCCTATTTACATGACTGTTATGAAATATTAAGCAAAAGTACGTTTCAATTCAGAACGTTAGAGAATGAGACTTTATTATTTGTAGCGAAAGTCAATAGAGAAAGCTATAGATGTGAAAACAAATAAACCGTTTCAAGAGTAAATTACCTCCAGGGTCACTTTAAAGAAGCTGTCTGAACAACAAAAGGACGAATCTATGCAGCTTTCCTCAATGCTGCCTGCATCCTACTTTCCACCAAGTAACTAGAACCCGGGGCTGGAAATCTGGAGAGTTTGACATTCTGAACCACAGGTAAGTAAATGGAAGAAAATTCTGAGAAGTTATTTCGTCTCACTACATTTTATCTGTCGCAGAGATTATTCCAGGAATGGCCTGGAAAAAGACGGAAGACTCTGAGGTTATGACTTTCCTTGCCACAAATTCTCGGCAACCTTAGAAATCTCATGGTAGAAGCAATTATAGTGCTTCATTTAATTTTTAAAAATCACTTGATAATTTATAGCATTGCCAAAATGGATGATATGCTGCCTTTTTGCTGACAAGAAAGCAGCATGGTAGATTTCTTCCCTGTTTGGAACTCTGATGGGGCTGACATATCTAGCTACGTGGGGGCACCCGTGTTCAGATCTAGGACGCCGAGGTGCCTGGGGCAAGGGAGGGCTCTGGAGGAGCTTTCAAATTGGTATTTCCAGTGCTGAATCTTCCAACTGTGTAAGTCAAAATCTTGCAAATTCTTTTTTCTTTTCTTTTTGTGACAGTACTGGGAGTTAAACCTAAGCTAAGTAAGTACCCTTCCACTGCACTATATCCTCAACCCTTTAAATTTGTATTTTGAAACAGGATCACGCTAAGATGCCCCGGCAGACCTCAGACCTGTGGTCCTCCTGACACCTGTGATGCTCCTTTCAAGCATTTGGTTCACATTAAGAGCACATATTCTATCCCAACCCAGTGTCTACACACACATGCTAATCAAAAGTTTCATAAGATAATGTATTTATCATGTTTCACAGATTGGTAGTTACTGGCTGTGAAGTAGGGGCAGGTTATCTCATTTCTTTTGACCTCATCTTTAAATTGGGGATATCAATGCCTATCCCAGCATTTTTGCTAGGATTAACTGTAATCCACAGGATGTGCCCTGCACTCTGCATGACAATACATATTTTCCCTTTTTTTATAGGCAGTATTTTAATAGCATGTTCTAGAAGATTTATTTTAGGGGTTTTTGATTTTTTTTTTTTTTTTGAGACAGGATCTCCCTGTGTATTTGTCCCTGAACTCACAGTGATCCTCCTTCCTCAGCTTTTGGAGTGCTGGGATTACAGTTGTGTGCCACCATGCCCAGCTTGTCTTAGGTTTATCTTAACATTCAATTTCTCCTGTTATTTTAAAAGCTTACTTCTATATGTTTCATGAGGCAAAAAATTAAAGCCTGAAAAAAAATCAAGGTCAGTTAAAGGCTTTAAACTTTGGAATACTTGAAATCACTTTCATTTTAGCTGTCTAAATGTACTCCTTCTGAATGACTATTCTTTAAACCACTCACTGAAAAACTAATATTATTCATTACCAAAATGCAATCCTTATTAAGTGCCTCAGGGCACAGGGGCCAAAAAGGAGGGTACTAATTGAAGTGCATAAAATAGGGAATTGAAATACTATGTAAAATAGGAAATCTCATTTTTTAAAAGGCCATCCTTCAGTTACCACTCTATAATCACTGCAAATTTAGAAGAAGAGGTTGTTTCATAAAACAGAACCACAGATTCAGTATTTGGAGACAAGAAAATATACAGGTACCAAGCATTGGTTCATAAGTGGCTTCTTTTTGTGAGACCAGGCACCATCAGAGACCCAGGGGCACCAAGGGCCATCTCATATTACCTTATTCCCCCTTTTGGGTAAGTATAATTTAACCTGAGTTTAAAAGGTAAATGTGTCTTCCTTTCATTTTCATAATAGCATACTCGAGTTAAACTTTAAGAAACCAAATCAGAGGAAAATGTAAATAAAGCTGACTTTTGTAAAATAAGCATGGTTTTTCACTTGGCCCATCTCTGACTTGAACACAGGTTACGTGGCCCTTTGCCATTTTTAAAGTGCTTTCGCTTTTAAATTGGATCCTTATAATAATCCCGGGAATGTGATAGATCGAACAGTATTATCATCTTCATTTAGAGAAGCAGAAACCGAATGTCAGAGAAATTATGTTATTTGGTTAAATCTTATACAGCAAGGAAGAAATTTTAAAATCCATAACCGATGCTCTCAGCTGGTACTGTCTTAAAAAACAGTCTTCCACACTTGTGCCACTTTTCCGTAACACAGATCCCACAGACACACCCACAGATCCCACCTTGCCATGCTCTTTAGCAACTGAGTAAGAGTTGTGTGATTTAGGGCTGGGGGTTTAGCTCAGGGGCATAAGCGTGTGAATTCTATCCCCGGTACCAAAAAGCAAAAAACAAAAAAGAATTTTGTGACTTGAGCGTGGTTTTAAAAGAATTAGCAGTTGACTGACCGGTCTTTCATCGTAGTCCAGCATGAGTGCAGTTGACCGACTGATTAGGACTTTTGGCAAAATATTAAGTCAGCTGAGCGATACAAACATTAAAGTCCTTACCTTGTACGGGGAACCAAGACAGTAAGCTGAGAACTTGCCACCACATGTTGTGCCCTGCTGCTGTGACGCTGGCGATTTCCTCTCACTTCTGAAATAAGTGCAGGAGAGTCGTTTCTTTTGAAGGAGGCAGAGGCAGGGGCCCTGTGACCACACGTGTCAACGCCTCCATCTGCTCTGGGAGCTTCCTCCGGGTTGGCTGCCCCCCAAACACCTCCCGATGGAACATTTTGGGGACCACAGTGTCAACTTGACTGTGGAGAAGTGTGAGTGATGTGTTAGTGACCACAAGTGGGCAGTGCTAGGAGGTCAACGAGTGCGCATGTGGGGAGAAAGTGTGGGAAGCCCGAGAACACCTTCCTGTGTGGTGATGTCACACCTATTTTTACTCCTCTACCTTCTCAGGTAATTATAATTAGGAAAATTCTATCCACCCTTTGTGAGTATTTTATATTTATAACTCTGGAAACAACTTTTGATGGTTATCAGGGGCCAAATGCATTCATTTACTTATATTTGGAACCTGCATATTCATCTACCTATCCATCCATTCATCCATCCATCTATCCATCTATCCATCCACCCATCCATCCATTCTTCCATCCATCCATCCATCTATCCATCCATCCATCCACTCTTCCATCCATCCATCCATCCATCCATCCATCCATCCATCCATCCACTCTTCCATCCATCCATCCATCCATCCACTCTTCCATCCATCCATCCACTCTTCCATCCATCCATCCATCCATCCATCCATCATCCATCCATCCATCCATCTCTCCACTTATTTTCCCATCTAGCATTCACCTCTCTAAGACAGGATTTGAGGTGGAACATAAATCCCTTGAGGTTTTTTTTTCCTCAAAGATGCCGTTTTCTTTTTTCAATATATAAGTGTATATCACTTTTACAAAATTGTGAGTTTCATTATTTTCATACATGTAAGTGATGTACAGTGATGTATTTGATTGTATCCATGTCTATTGCCCTCTTTTATGACACTTTTTTTCTTCCCTTTCTTCTCTTTTTGTTCCTTTGCTGTATTGCAGATTGAGCCTGGGTACATCACACTGAGCCACAGCCCTTGTTCCTGGTCACTTTCTTTCTTTCTTTCTTTCTTTCTTTCTTTCTTTCTTTCTTTCTTTCTTTCTTTCTCTCTCTTCCTTTTTTTCTTCTTTTTGTGGTACTGGGGATTGAATGCAGGGCTTTGTGAATGTCAGGCAAGCACTCTGCCACTGAGCTCCATCCCCAGTCCTGTTTTTTCTTTTTCTTTCTTTCTCTCTCTTTCTCCTGCCTCTCTTTCTTTCTTTTCTTCTTCCTTCTTTTCTTTTATTTCTTTCTGAGACAGTGTTTTGCTAAGTCACCAAGTTGCCCAGACTGGACTTGAACAGTTTCCCATAGTGCTAGGATTATAGGCATGCGCCACCGTGCCTAGCCCTTCCTTTTATCTGATAGTCTCCCTTTTGCTTTCTTGTCATCTCTTTTTAAATCTTTTTTATATCTCACATTGTAGGGAAAACATGCAACATGTGTCTCAGTCTGCCTTCTGCTGTTTAGCTTGATGATCTCAGTTCCAAGCCTATGCCTGCTAACGATGTAACTCTACTATTCTTTATGGCTGAATAATACCCATTGTGCATTTAGGCGTTTATCTGTCAGTGGACACCTAGGCTGCTCTGGTGTCTTGGCTACTGTGAATGGTACCTCAATAAATATGGGTAGGCATGTACAGTATCTCTACAGTACACTAAAGAGTGGCATCGGTGGGTCATGTGATCATTCTATTCTTAGTATTTAAAAACTTTTAGTATTCTGAATACCCTCCATACTGACTTCCAAGTGGCAATACTAATTTACCTTCCTTACTGGCTGCATTGAAATGTCCCTTCTTTCTCATCCTCCCCAGCGTTTATTTTTTTTTGTGTGTGTTCTCGATGGCAGCTATTCTGATTGGGTGAAACGGAATCACAAAAAGAGTGAGAGGACATCTCACTGTAGCTTTGATGGCTAAAGATGTGAAACTTTTTTTATATGCTTGGCCTTTCACATTTCTTTTGAGAAATGTCTGTTCAGTTCATTTTTTTTATGAATTCTTTGCTACTTGATGAAAAGATCATCTGGTGAGGGAGATGATGCCCAAATAAAGTTTGATTCATTTTATTCTCATTAAGTGGGCCAAGGGATAGACTTTACTTCATTTTGTCAAGTGAATATGTAAAAGAGTGATTGACTGACCATTTGAAGATGCCCATACTCACTTTCCTTCTGAAGCCTGAAAGCCAAGTCCATCTTATCCAAGCAGCAAAGAGTATCATTCTCTAAACTGTGCTTTGGGCCATGGTGAGTGTACCTGATCCACCTACAGATATGATGCTCTGCTGGCTGAAAACCTTGACCACAGTTGCGTTGTCCAGCAGACTCAGAGGTGAGAAACTGCCCCTGGGGAAATGCTGTGAGGTCGGCTGGTGGGCGTCACATTTTGTGGTTTGCATAGGTTTTCCTGCTCTCTCACCAACCCACGCTCAGCCTGCAGCCCACAGTGTGTTCAGGGCAGCCGCCTGTGGCTGCCCAGGGAAACAGAGAAAAGCCAAGGCTGGAGTGCAGTGCCAGGGTGTGACCTGCTTCTTTTCCAATGCAAACGTGTCTCCTGACCACCTTGTAGGAAGGAACCTCACAATGGAGGAGGAGAGAGAAAGCTGTTCCTTCTACCTTTCTCAGTTCTTAGCTGGGACCTCCAATACTGAAAAAGTAGGGAAAAAACCAAACAACCTCATGTGTGTTTCGTATATGCAACAAAGATACATCAGGAACAAATAGTTCTGAAAGGGGTGGTTTAGAATTCTGTCCTGCTCAGCATTTTAAACAAGGATCAGTGGAGTTTTAGAGCAGTGGTAACCCAGAGAGAAAGGATCTCGAGTCTTTAGGGATGGCAAATTTGTGGGAAACTGAAGCTTGTTGTAGAGTCCTCTGGTGCCTTCTCCTGGCTAATAAAGATCTAAAATTTTCTCCAAAATTCCATTTTTGTCTTTGACTGAAAAGGGAGGAAATCACCTTAGTAACTGTATACCCTGCTTTGGGGCAAATAGGAGGAAGAAAGAGAGCAATAAGGCAGGAAAATGGGGGGCTGCATATATTGCTCCCCTTTAACTGACACTAATTTGCTATTTGATTCCTGTTTCAGGAGATCTTTATACTGTTTCATTACTAACAGGAATAATACTACTAACAGAAATAATATTACTAACAGTTAAAGGACAGGTTTTAGAAATATAAACATCTCTCTTTCCCATCATCACCACCGTGTGTGTGGGGAGGCATTCACTGGGCAAGCGACAGACTACAATAGGGGTCAAAATAAACAGGGGGTTTCCCATGTGTAGAAGCTGGTGGAGTTTTTATTGCAATTACAAGACAGCCCTACACTGTCTTCTTGACCTTTCATGACTCTTGTGGGGTATCATGGCCTTTCCCGAGACCAGGGAAAGAGGTGGACTTATCTCATTTCCTGGCAGATGCTGCTGTAATTCATACCTGGGGTGGGATTCTCTGAGCGCTGGTGCAGCATGGAGTGTCTAAGCCAGGCCAGCAAGCTTTGAAATTAGTTATTGGTTCAAACAAAGTTTCCCAGCAGCCACAAAGCTTGGTGGGTTGAGCATGGGTGTGGGAGATGCACAGGGCCTGGCTTGTCACTTTGCCACTAGCCCCTGGGAAGTTTGAGTAGAATCCAGTAGCTGAAGCATCTGCGTGTGTTACATAAAAGAACCTAGTTACGTCCACAGATCTAGGTGGCCAGGGCTACACTGCAGGAACCACGGTAGTTTGGACAACAGGAGGAACAACTCAGCATTTGCTCTTAGACTTCTTCTGCCTAGAAGTCAGCCTTGTGACTCTGGACTTTAGAAGGGGCGAGTACTTGGTGTAAGCAGATCAAATGGGACGTGCTAGAGCCAGCGCCACTCTGGAGTTGATTTCAGAAGGAATTCACCTCAACAGCAGGGTTGATTGTCAAGGCCCAGCTCACAGAGCTTTGTGGGATGGGTGACCATCCTTCCCTGTACCCGAGGGGATTAGAGGAAAGTCACTGGGTCTCATCCGTGTTGTGAAAATCCAAGCATCTGCTGGTACTTTAGGCTTCTGCTTTATTTTCATGAACATTTCTTTCTTTTTTTTGGTAGCGGGGATCGAACTCACGACCTCATGCTTGCCAGGCAGGAGCTTATGCCGCTGAGCTAACTCCCCGGCCCCATGAGCATTTCTTTGAAAGCATTTTAAGCTATTCTCTAGGCTCTGAAACTAAGCTGGAATGGTGAAAAGTCAGGTTCAACACTTTTTAATTATATGGCTGTGGCCAAGTTATTGACTTTTACGAGGACAGATTTCTCCTTCATAAAATAGAGTGACAGCGTCCACTGAACAGAATTGTCCTGAAGATTAAAGTTGACACCCACAAAGTGCATTTGCGCCTGATAAATACATGTGCTTATCAGATGCTGCCTGATATTCTGCCAGTCCCTGGACACTTCCCGATCCCTGAATTTGATTTGCCAGGTAAGCTAGTTTTTGTGCCAGATGCTACAGATTTAGAATAAAACCCTGGTGTTTCACCTGAATCTGCTTTAGCGATCAGTAAGTTCTTTCTGTAAAGGTCCAACCAATAAATACTAAAAATACTTGTTAGCCAAACTTGGTGGTGCACAGCTGTGATCCTAGCCCAGTATCTAGGAGGCTAAGAGTGAGCAAGGAAGACTGTAAGTTTGAGCTGGACAACTGAGTGATTTAGTGAGGTCCTATTTCAAAATTAATTAATTAACTAATAAAAATGGCTAGGGTGGAAGCTCAGTTGAAGGCCCAGGTTTCAATCCCTGTATCACAGGGAAAGAAATTTTACTACTTAACACTGCTTTTGTTACTGGAAATAGCCACGGGCACTGTGTCAGTGAATGAATGAAATTATATTCCAATAAAACTTTGTAGATAGTGGAGCTCAAATTTTGTATAATTATCATAAACCATGAAATAATACGCTGGGTTTTTTCCCCCCAAGTATTTAAATTTGTAAGCAGCCTTCTTAGCTTGCACGGTACACAGAGCCAGGCTTGAACTGTGTTTACAGGTGAGGTTCTGGCCATGGTGGTAACTTACCGACCCCTGTTCTGTGTCACCCTGTGTCTATGGGTGCACCCACCTGCCTGGCTTGTTTCTTCCTCTTTCAGGCATGGTCACTGTTAGCGCTCAGGCTCTTCTATTCTAACCCAGCCAGATCCTTCCATCGTGGGGCGTCTGCACTCAAACAGCTTCCATGGGCTGTCCTTGCACAGCTCCTTACTGTGCTTAATGGCCACCTGTTCAGGGACTGGTTGTGTGACCGTCCCAAGACAGTATCCCCTACCACACACTGCAAAGTTTGTTTCCTAACTAGCATCCCTGAGAGCCCGTAATGATCTTGTTCATGTCCTTATTATCCATCTCCTTGTCTGTGGAGCGGACACCGACCTTTCTTCTTCCCCATTCTAGCTGCAGCCTCTCACCCCGCCTGGAACATAGCAACCAGCAAATATTAGAGAACCATGAGTGAGTTCATGACCTCGATATTTTAGTTTCCTTCATGCGATGAGTTAATGATACCCGACCTTTTACCCTATAAGATTGTTACAAGGATCAAGTGAAAAACTTTTTTAAATTATAAAGTGATATTAAAGGTGGGCAATATGTGATATTAAAGCAAACCACAAAATTCAACCAACAAATTCACCCTTATGTTTCCCCTCTTACTACAGAAACTCACTTCCAGGGAGCAGAGTGGTGTCATCTCCATCCGAATGATGTGGTGTTTATTCCTCATCCCAGAAATTCCCCATAGAAGAGTGGGGTGGCTCCAGGTGGGATCTGATTTCCTCCTTAGCAAAAAAATTATTTATGTGCTAGCGGGTAGTATTTTATCATCATTAATGCATAGTATTAGATATTTCATAGTAGTATTCATACTATCATTATGATGCCTATTAGACAAAGGGCATGAGTTAAGGGCATCCTTTGAGTAGCTAACCCCAGCGCAACTGTTTGATTGAATATTATTCTTAGGACGGTATGACATTCTTCTAGGTGACACACAGACCCTCAGGACTGCCCCCCAAATACAATACCAAACGGCACACTAAATACACCGTGGCATCTTTCCATGGCCTGGAGCAGGCCATCTGGGTTTCACATGTGTATTTCTGGCAAAAAACGAAATAGTCTATGTGGTCAGGAGGAAGATTATTTTTTTTCCTGGACCTCAACCAACTTTCAAAACACCACCGCCACATTTTGCTGATTTAAGCTTAAACAAATCCAAAGTACACTGATTGATTTTCTCTGGATGTGCGGGCAGCCTTTGCACACATCACAAAAGGGCAAATGAGTTTGGGAATCTGTCAAGCAGAGAGCAGCTGAGAACCAGCCAGGAGGCTAAACATAGCCCGGCCTTTTGTGAGATTCCAGCATCTGCTGCCATGGTTCCTCAGGAAGCCAGCCCTGCCAAGGCAGGGAGTGGACGGTGGGCCAATGAAACTCTGTGTTCATGTCCTGGGCACAAATCTGCATTCAAGGCCTATGTTTAAGTCTTATTAGCAGAACATCTAATTACTCTGAAAATGGGTTCTACGGGTTGTAGTAGTATGAGACTGTAGAATGAAGTTTGAGGTGGATTCACTCCCTCTTCCACAAATTCTTGCTCTATGGAGTGGGTCTGCTGCAGTTCCTTGAAGTAGGTATTGGTGAGTAATAAAGACTCTTGTGGGGTTCAGAATATGCTATCCCAAAATGTGGTGCCTTGGAATACTGTGGAAAAAAAAAAAAACCCTTTTGATGGTACTAAGGACTGAAGCTAGGGCCTTAACACTGAGCCCTTTTATCATTGACTGACTGACTGACAATGGCTGAGAAAGGTGGGGGTGACAGTTTATGTCCTGTGCTTGCAGAGGTTTGGAGAAGTCACTTGTCTCTAAAGAAAAAGTTCCATTTTGTGGTGCTGGTTACAGATAGAAAGTTATTTTGTGTCCCAAACTGTTTGCATATGGGAAAAAATGAAAGTACTTCAGAACTTGCTTTGTCAGTCATAGGTGGGTGTTCATCTTTCCGGTCTGGATGACTCAGAGACTGACCAGAAGAGACTGAGACCCACACAGTTGCTGTGTGCTCTCCGCCTTCTGTTAGCAGTGAGCACCTCTCAGGTCCACTGAGAGAAGAACCACACTTTTAATGGACTCTCCCAAGATCAAAATGACTAGAGTTGACATCTGGGAATATGCAGTAGACACCATTCGGGATTTAACATGCGATTGCTCTGGACCACCTGAGGACTCAGTTTCTCTTTATTAAATCATCTATGAACCATTTCAGTGGTGATGGGTCTGGAATGGACCAGGTTGGTTACAATGGTGTCATAGCTGAATCAGGAGGGACGAGCTGTCTGCCAGAAAAGCACAGATGGCACACAAAATGTACAAGGAATCTGACGATACAGACAGGTGTGGTTTTCTTTTTAGTAAATACAAACTATTTTTCAAATAAATACACCAAAATCACATAGAAAAAAATAATACAATAGTCTTATAAATGAGAAGCCATATGCCTCCCCCACATAGCAGTTTAGGATGATCTGTGCATAATCAAAAAGCTTTGGGATGGGGTTCCCATCTTACTGGCAATCAACAACAGAACCATGACGCATTTTTCGATTTACATATGTATCCTGTATAGAGTTCACGAATAGCTGAACAGCTGCAAAATTCCGATTTTTGCAAGTTACAGCAGCTAAGTAATACTGGGTAAAATATTTGTAATAACTGATTGTATATTGTTTGACTACTCATCACTATAATTGTAAGTCTACATACACCGAACCTAGTATTACACATATTTAAAAATCAAGTTATTTCCACTGCATTTAGAGGCAATCTTTTCTACCTCTCCCCTAAAATTTTCATTATAGCTAGTCACTTTCTTAGGAAAATTGAATAGGTTGAAGTACAAAAGAGAAGCAAACTCAATTTTAATCCTAAATTTAAAATATGTAAAAGCCATCACCTAACAAAATACTCCCGTCACCTCTGTGAAGTTAACATTAACCCAGATTGATGTTAAATTGCTCTTCCCCGTCTGTCCCTCGCCCTCCTCCACCAGTTCTGTCCCTCCAGCACAGCCACCTCCTCAGGCCATCGCCTCTTCTTTCTCACATGTGTGTGCTGGATTATGCAAATCTCCTGAGCCTCCTCATCTAACGTCTTGGTGCCAATTTTGTACAGCTGACTGTGCTGAAGCCTGTGCAAATTCAGCAGAGGCTCATCTGTATTCCACCACATGCACAACTCAGGGTAAATTCAAAAGAGCAATTCATCACTGCTTTCAGATTTAAACACTGGCGTGGGGAGTGCCTAGGTAACCGCACCGGGAAGCCTTTCTACAAAGGCGACAGATAGGAACTTCTCTTTTCGTGGCTGTTCAATCAGTTCTCAATGATACTAGGTAATTGAAATAAGAGACTTCATTTCAATACGAATACAGTTAGTTGAGTGGAAAAGAAACGTCTAGGGCAACGCTACACACAACTGGAGGACAGCCTAGACATGTCCCCAACACTGCTGACAAGCAAATGATCAACAATGATTTATTAAACTGATACTCCAGAAGGCATTTTAATTTTTTTTTTTTGCAAAATCATCTTTCAAATATAAGATTACTTTAAAATAATTCTTTGGTTAAAGTATAATTAAAATAAAAAGTAGAAACTACTCCAAGCCTTGCACTACAGGGTGAAAAATACCCCCCTTTCCAGCCATCAGATAGCCATTTAATCAGCCATTCAGATTCTTTGAATCTGAGAAACACTGTCAATTCCACTGCTACCTCCTATCAGGGAGGCTCTTGGTACCCAGTAAGTGATGGGGAAGAGAACCTGGAAAATGAAACCCTCAGCAGATGCATTAAAACATGCCGATTTTTCTAGTCTGCGAGGAATCCACGTGGCACTTTAAAATCACAGAAAACAAAGTTCTACCTAACAGAGAGTACTAGGGCCTTTGCACACTAAAGTGGCCTTCTTGTAGAAGCAGCAAACTATTTGAGATTTGCAATACCAGCTTAAGCCCATTAGCTAATTTCATTTCCACTAATTTATTTCAGATAGCTTTCTAACTTAAAAAACAGTTCTTTGAATGAGAAATCATTTGATTCTTCTTTTCTGGCAATGCTTTCTTCTTTCCTTTTCTATTCCTCCTCCACATATCATAGGTTTTAATAAGCATCAGCCTCTGATCACAAAGAATGAGCCTCCACTTCAGGTTGTAATGTCAACTTAGAATTTTCATATGAATTTGAAGTTTGGTAATATAGCTGTCTCTTTTATTATACATAGATTCAACATGATTTATAAAGAATTTGTTGGTTGCAGTCCAACTTTAATTTTTTAAGTAGATAAGTCTGAAATAAAATTTTAGTGTGAATTCAGGCCACTCAGCTGTTTTGATAACCAATCTAGTTAATTACAGCAGAGGAATAAAATTTTTCTTGTACTCAGGGTTTTCCACCTAAATTATTCTGAAATGTTTCAGACCCATGATTCCTTTGGCTCTTGCAGGCAGTTGCCGAAGGCTATATTGATACTGGACTAAAGACAATGGAATGAAGCCCAGTCTGTCAAACTAATTCTCAGGACAACATGGAACATCCAGAAGAGAAATGGAAAAGGTGACACATTTTCATTTGTATTTTATAAAAGTACGGACACTGTCCAGAACATACTCTTAACGGTTTCAAGGAAATCTGAAATGAAGCATTCAAGTATTATTCTGAGCATTCAAAGCCCATGAGAATCTGTGGTGAGCCTATAAACATTATAGATAGGATTAAACAGTGGATCACTTCCTTACCAATACCAGTAGAATGAGTGGCAGGGACATTAAGTTCATTAACTTAGCTGAAATGTGAGTTTTAAGAACTTTAGTGGGAATATTTCCCTCCCAGATAGTTTAAGGTTAAAACAGAAATGTGTCAGCACAGGGTTATTTCTATGGTCAGAAACTGAAGCAATACTTGTGCGATGCTAGGAGAAACCACGATTCGTTTCTCCAATTAGAAATTTCATAGCATATTTCTCTAGGTGTCTTTAAAAAATGCAGCCATAATCCTTTTACTAACATAAATAGCAAATCACCTTTCACTTCTTCCTTTTTCCAGCAGTCATCAAATTTCAATTTCAAATACAAGCATAGGTCAGTTTTTATAAAGCATACGTCTGAGTTTTAAAACTTATTTAAGGTCGCTACAGCATAGATAGATTTGTCTAACACTAATGCTCCCTTTAAATGGTTGGGATTTTATTGCGTACACACATTCTACATGGCGAACTATATCATACCAGACCACTGTCTGTGGCTCTACTAGTCAGCTACTCACACGATTAAATAGACATTGATAACTGGTGTTTTGGCTTGATTGTCATTTATTTTTCTTTTAAATAAACTCCCTCTACATACAGGAAGTAGCCATAATGAGAAACCAGTCCAGCTTTCCTCAAGTAGCCTTACCTCCTATCGATTTTAAATTATCATAGAAAGACAAACAGAAAGGAGACAGCACAAGTAGCAGTGCACTTGTGACTGTCACCAGTTAAGTTAGTTCCCTGACTTCATTGTATATCTCTGGTGCAACTGGGGCATCTCTGGACATTCTGTTTGGTTGGTAGGTGCTGGGAGGGCATCACAACCTGGCCCTTGGCATGGTTTGTCAAGATGTCCACATTGCACAGAATGAGCTTCTTGCTGATTCAAATAATATGCTGAACACATATGCTTTCAACATGTCAACCTCCTCAGCTAGTTAACCCTGTCAGAGTCTAGGGGCAGAGACAAGCAAATCTTGGCGACTCAGAAGTGCTGCGGCTCATCAGGCTGTGACACACATAATCCCAATGCACTTTATATTTTGCAAGTTCTCCACGCCTATCCTTGACTACGACTCACATTTACCTTATCTTCCTCATGAGGATCTAAAAGTATTCTGGAAAGCAGAAGTGCTTTCTCTCCCTATTTCACAGACAGAAGCAGGAAGGCCCCCATTCTGGGAGAAAATGAGGAAGTACCAGGGCAAACACTGGACTCCTTAAGGGGGTGTCTGGAGTTTACCGAGGGTAGAATTTGAGGTGCAACCTAAGGACAAGTCTATGTAGGAACCTTAGCAGGATTTCTCAGCTCGGCTAAATTGAAAATGGAGTTCAACAGAATGTTCCATCCCCAGACTGGATTCGGGACACACTCCTTCCTGCATCCCTCCTGAGAGGGGGCACAGCTCCAGTGGGGACGCGTGAAGCTCCTTAGCCATGCATAGCCCGAACGAGGATGAGGATGGGCCTCTGCTGTAGCAGGCGCAGGTTTAGGAAGTCAATTCTCCAAAGCCTTGTTAACCAGGATGGATTTTTCTCTCCCTGAATCATGTCTTTTGCTTATTTATGCAGTCTTGTCACTTAAGCATGAAAGGAAGTGTGTTAATCGAGCTGTCCATTTAGAATGCAATGCAGAGTTTTCCGCAGTTACTGAACGCCCAAAAGATTCTTCTCCAAAAGACTAATTCCTCTCGCCCCTCACAGGCTTACTCCTGCAGCAATGTTTCTCTCCAGTTGAAGCCCCCAGTGGGTCCATGGGTAAGGGGAAGGATGGGTGGGTCTGTTAGCTGCCATATTCCAGTTTCGCCTAATTCTTCACAGGAACAAAAGCCTAGGTAGGGGATCTGAAGCAAGAGCAGAGAGCAAGGGGAAACAGAACACAGAATGTTAATACCTTAACTTTGCACCCTGGACACAAGGATATTCAGGTGGCCTCAGTGAAACAAGAATTAATAGGAGCCTTGCAGAAATGCATCGCCTTCAAAAGCCAATAAACAACATAAAATGGATAGAACTGATACACTGGTGAAAGAGTATTTGTATGGCTTGTGTTTAGATGTCCCCTTAAGCCTCATGCAGTTATAGACAGGGCTTTTTCAGAGGTGGCTGGATCTCCAGTGTGTGATGCTGGAATTGATTTATGGTGCAGTGCTAGGCTCACAAGCACTAGGTTTAAGGGTATGAGAACTACCATGTTAGGTAGACTGTATAAAATATAAGGGATAAAAAGAAATGTGGTCTTCCCTTGCTTGCTTTTGCTGTCCTTTGCTTGCCATGAACTGGTTCTCCTCTGTGATATTTCTCTGTGAAGCCACCCTGCCTTGGAGCCAGCCAATTATGGACTGAAACATCTACAAACTGTGAGTTAAATAAACATTTCCTCATTTAATTCATGGGTGCTGGATATTTTATCTCAGCGAAAAGTAACTAAGACAGTATTGCAGGAGGATTCATCAAAAGGATCTATTAAAAGTGAGCATCCAATTATAAGTATTTTTTTTTTTTTTTGCTGCTTAGTAGGGTGGGAAAAAAGAGAACAAAATTATAAGGGGCAATTATACAGCTGCCCCTTATCCATGTGTGGGTGTGTTCCAAGATCCCTGGTGAATATCCGAAACCTCAGACAGTTTTGAACCCTATATAGTTTTGTTCCTTATAAATATATATCTATGATAAAGTTTAACTTATAAATTAGGTACAGAAAAGACTAACAATAATAATAAGTGAAATAAATAAGAGTATGTTTTAGTGAAAACTGTGTGACTGTGGTCACTGTAATAAAAGCAATGTGAATGTGGTCTCCCCTTTTCTCTTATTGTAGAGCATCCTGTATTTTGGGGTGTAAGCTGGCCAGGGTAACTGAAACCTCAGCAAACAACTCCTCAGATCAGTGGGGTCCATTGTAAAGCTGAGGACACAGGAGTCAATCCCTGATTGCATGTCAGTTTAAAAAGGCACCTGAGATCTTTCTGAAACGACACATGGGCACACTGGGAAAGGTTACTTATTTTAAAAAAACTTTGTTTTATATTTGCTCTATCTTTTCTCAGGAAGTGCATGGTACCTACCTATCTGTGATGTTCAAAGCAGAAGCGGTGTCTTTGATAATTTCACAAATTCTTTTTTTTCTTTTTAACTTGATAATTTCAAAACTTACTTTCCTGTTAGGTGTCCAAGGGACACCCACAAACCAGATAGAAATCCCTGCTCTCCAGCAGTTTACAGGTTACTGGGAAAGACAGATGTGTAAGTAAACTTTTTACAAATGAGAAAGGGTTTGAACAGGGTGCTCTGGTGATGGAGAAAGAAAGTAGCAGCCTTCCTGGAAGGGAAGGGGATGTGTGGGAGGTAGCTGACCGGAAAAGCTCTTAAGGGGCACAAAGAAACAAAACAAAATAAAAACACCAGACAACAAAAGTAGGAGCCAGTCTGCTGGGGTTCTGGGATTCTCTCTTGCTACCTTGTTCCTAAGTTTGCCTTTTAATGGGACATGGATCACTGTAATTCCTTGCCTCTCCTGCCTGGCCTACCTGTTAGGACTCGTTCTCTAGCTAAGCTTTTGGTCTTGTTTGTTCCTCTTTTCCAAGGTCCCTTATTTTAAGCTGTTTCCTAAATTTTAGCTCTTACAAGCTGGAATAGTGCTAACATTTCTTTTCCTTTTATACAAGGCCTAAGAAAGTGCCTTACACAAAGTACCATTCTGTACATCTTGGTTAAGTGAAAATGAATCCTTTGGCTCAGTGTAAATTTGTGCTTCAGAAAAATTAGTTAACAGCCAATCACAGAACTATTATTAAACCGTCAAGCATCAGGGACCGCCCAAATGCAAAATCAATTACCTTTCGGACCATTTGCACAAAGTCCTTGGAGTTCTGAGGTGACAGGCCCTGAAGCTGGCAGGTACATGCTTCAAGGGAAGATGCATGGGCCACAATCAGAATGTTATTTCCTGGGGACGGAAGCAAGGAATGGGTAGACTGTTTCTGGAAAGGCAGGTGTCAGTTTAGCAAATACTGTGCTGAAAGCTATGTGTTCAGGGACTAGCATTATCACAAAGAAGACAAGTTGTCCAAGCAATGCTGTACAAATTCTTCCATATCATTAAAGCAGCCTATTAAAAACAAAGATTTTATCTTAAAATAACTATACCCAACACAAAGAAATGATAAACGTTTATGGAAAGGGAAAAGCTAATTACCCTGAGCAGATAATAACTACTTTATAGACACTGAAATATCACACTGTTCCCCATTACTATGTGCAGTTAGCATGTGTCAGTGAAAACATTTTTTAAAAGGGAAAGGATGTAGTTCAGTGGTAGTGTGCTTGCCTAGCACGTAAGGTTTCAATCCTTAGCCTTGGGAAAAAAATTTAGAAGGGAAAAATGATGAAAAAAAAGGTACATAGATTCACAGTGGGAACATCTTTTATAATTTACAGTACACTATGAAAACCAGGAAGTGGACAGGGGTATAATCTGTGCATCTTATTCAGATCTCTTTCGGGCTTAAAAGGCTGAATTTGTGTGAGACCCACAGTTCTAAGCAGCTCAGTCGACATGCAGAACTGTCCTGCGTTTAAAGTGCTCCCCGTGCCAGCCCTTCTGCTTCGGGCTTAGCTGTTACCACCGCAGAATGGTGATTTCTGGGAACCTGGCCAAGAGTCCCTGCTGAGTGTCTTCAGGACAGTGAGCAGCTTAGATTGATGGCTGGGGATGGGAGCCATCTGTCCACTGTTGCCCAATGGTAATATTTTCTTGCATATAATCCCAGTCTCTGCTCCATGCACATAAATATACTAACCTAATCTAATTACGCTGAGCAGTCAGTCCTACATATCACTAAATGTTTGAACTCAATTTTGAACAACCACAGTAGCAGAAGGACTTGAACCTTATACAGCATTGCTCTGAGTTGGTGGCAACTGGGGTAGTAGGATGTGTTTGTGTAGACGGGTTTGTGTGTGGAATCCATGATTTTGGATCAATTATAGGCAAGCAGTGTTATTCTAGACTCTAGAATTATAATAGGGACATCTCCATAACATATAACAGAGTGATCTCCATGACATGTTGGAGGTCTAGGTACAACACAGAATCTATGATAGTGTTTTGTATAGTAGCTAATCTCGTGTGTTGCCCCGAATGCCTAACATTTTAGGTACTCAGAGAATGTTATAAAACTTTTTGAGAATGTTGTAAATTCAATGTGAAACTAGAAGATAGTTTGGAAATATATTTTTTGCTTATTACGGAAGTCTCTTAGAGCAGATTCCAACGCCTTGAATAGCCTATTATTAAGCACGATGCATAAATGACTACACATTTTATACACAGTTCAGTACAACACCACCTAAAGGAAAAAGAAAAGGCAAACCAGTGTCACTTACCTTTACCTTTACACTCACTTATTATCTCTTTTGTTACTTGGAAGCTTCTACTGATATAAGTGTCATAGGACTCTGAAACCACTAATTTGCTGACTGGAATGTGAGGTCTGGAACATAAAAACAAACAAAAGAAATTAAAACATCTGGATCCTGAGACAAAGCAACTAATGTCATTCTAAATCTTCATTTCAAGACCTTTTCAGAGTCCCCCTATATCTGTCTATCTAGTGCCCTAGAGAGGGGAGAGTCACAGGATTTCTACTATCTGGAGGTTGGGTTGCCATGGGCAGAAATAAAGGCCACCTTTATGGTATCACGATGACCTGTCATTCACAGCCTGACTAAGCAGTTTGGTTATTTTTATTGGACATTGGTCACTGCTGGTCCTAGTCACATAGCTAACAGGAAGCAATTAGATCTCTTTATTTGATCATCTGATATCTCCCAGAAGCTTTAGGCACAATGAACTGTGAGGATCAGTTTTAAAAGCAGGTGTTCAGTCCATCTGATTTGTGAGGTTATAAAATTTCCAACAGGCTTTTCTTTCTTATTTTGAACACAAAACATACGGTAAATCCTGAACTTATGAATATTCAAATTGTGAACTTTTGCGAGTGCACTGTGTAAGATTCACAAGTGTATTATAGAAGATTCACGTTTTCAGAGTGTGAACAAATCAGACTTATGAACTTTCTCCTGGAACACCACAAAAATTTTTACAAAGTAGCTTTTTAGCATTCCAGGATTATGGCCATAGTACATGAGCAGAGGCTGGAGAACCACAAATGCTTTAGGAAACTAAAAGTGAAAATTGAAGGTAAGATCTTATGGCCTCCCTCCTCTCCCAAGCTCTGATCTACATTATCCTTAGCTGATCTGTGTTCTCTGAATGCAAAATGGACTGAAACAGACCTCATAAAGTCAGAAAATCCAACTCAGGAGCGGGTTGCAGTGGGAAGTGTAAGTCACACTAATGGTAATTCAAAGGCATATTGGCTTTTTTTGTTTGGCTTCAGAATTCATAGTTTGACATTCACCATGACTGACAAGTTCCTAGGCAGGCTGGCTGTCCCTTCGTCTGCTTGATTAGGCTGGTGCAAGGACAATGTGGAAAGTGTTTTCCCATCGGTCCTGGGGAGCAGCAGTTTCAGGGGTTACCTGTAGGTTGTATCAACACTCAGGCTGGCTGCAGCTAACTCTGATGGAGGTATCCATGCAGGTAATGTGTTCCCAGCAACCCACTTTGTCCACTCAAATAAGCCAGGCTCCACGCGAATCTTTAAGTGGTTCTCTTGTTGTAAACCTTAGGGGTAAAATAAAATAAAATGAAGATAAAGGAAGTAAAAAAAAAAAAAAAGGGAATAAATTATGGGCCAAACTACTCTAAAAATTTAAGTCAGTTATTCTTTTTCCTACTAGATATTCTATATAGCTGAAAGAAAGTGGGAGGCATGTGGATTTGGACAACTTATAATTTTTGCATTTTGCCAACGCATGAGTTTAATACTCTGGCTACAATTTTGGAATGAATGCTAGCTTTAAGTTATGTCTGATTTAAGGAAGAAAACCCCATGAGTCATCGGTAGTTTATTCAATTTTGTGATGATTATGTTTCTTTCTAATGTAAATTCCGTGTCTGTCTTACCAAAAAATTTAGCTAGTGTGGCACATTAAAAACTGATGGTCAACTTAAACACCAGCTGAACTGAATCAGCGTGGTGCTGAGTGTAGAGGGCCCCACTGAGGACTGTTGTTTGGTGCTGTTGGTGCTCCTGTTGCCATGAATTCTCCTGGAGGAGCTTGTGGAGCTTCTTCTCGGATAATGAACTTGGCTGTTCTCATTGTCAGAGGGGCTCAGGACCTTACTGCTGCTGAGAATGGCTGCGGCTCATTTTTAGGGGAGCTCAGGTCCTTATGCTGAGCATTACTTCCTGGCTCTAGGGCAGAACCGTTAACTGGCACAGATTCTTCACACTGCTGGCATAGACTTTCTAGCTTCCACCACTAATCTTTAGGTCTTTCCAGCACAGATCTGTGAAACAGATTTTCACAAGAGTCATTGTTGTGGGCTCTAAGTTTCCAGATGGACTCGTGGGAGGCGCTGTCATGGGCTCTAAGTCTTCAGCTGGACCCATGCGGGTCATTGCTGTGGGATCCAGGCCCTCAGCTAGATTCTTAGTATGTGGAAAGATTTCCTGCACTTTTTCTGTATTTAACTCCTTGAGTAACCATTATAAATAATACTATAAATTATGTGTCCTGTACTTTCTTCTTCTCCTTGCAATTCCTGACTGTAACAGCTAGTCTCCACCTCCACAGCTGTCCCACAGTTAAATTATATTTAAATAGCATATAAACGATTTACTTTATCTATCCAGAAACCTAATGTTTTATGGACCAGTGCACAAGTCCTGTGTTTTATTGGATTGTGATTACTCTCAGCATATGAACTGTCCTTTGATATTAGTTTAGTTTTCTCTGTACTGCATTTAGTCCAGTTTCTCTGTGCAAACTTAATACAAAAATGCTGCTGTAGGGAAAAGAAGGTTTACTTAAGGTAAAAGAATAGAAGACTCCTCTATAGTGTATAACTTTTTACTGGCTTGTCTGTTTCTGCCTCTTCTGTTGTCTCATTCAAGTCTTGTCCCCCCAAGTTTTTTCCCAACGAAATGAGAAGGGAGATCTTTGTACTGCAAAATTGTATGGATTTTAGGGTGAAAGACAGGTATCTTTATAGAAATGGTGCTCTTAAAGTCTTTCTTATTAACTAAACAAACAAGAACGATCAAGATTTGAGACCCCCAGCAGCACCACTGAGGCTGTAAACAACCGGCACATGATAGATTAAAGCTGGGTGGAAAACTATTTGATTATTTAAGTACAAAGAAAGGATCACTGTCCTATAAGCTCTAAGTGTTTTGCACACCTATAGTTCATTCAAGAGAGCTTTCAATTCTCAGGAAAAACATTATAAGTGTACTTCTTTTTTTGTCTGATGTATGCTGTCAGAGCATGAATTTGCGATCTGAGCAAGATCAGTATTCTTCTGAAAGATTCTTTGCTCACAAGTCCAGATTCAGAGCTTTCCACTGGCGAACACCCGACAACCCTATGAGAAGTCAGGTGTCTCGAGATGAGGGGCTAACGGGCTTTTGTCAACCCGAGAATCTTACCTTTTAAGATGTTGTGTGCGGTCTGAACGCAGCGGAGGGATGGGGAGCAATAGACGTGATCGATGATGGTGCTACTTTCTAACAAGGCTTCACCTGCCAAGAAAACCAAGGACAGTCAGCCTGCTAGATTTACCTGGACCCAGCTCGACCCACAGTGTTTCCAAGTAGACCCAGTGACCCTCTCTCCGAGTGCGGGTCCACATAGATCCACAGGGTCAGCCTCGTCTCCAACAAATCCCCTCACCAGAGCGCCAGTAGATGAGGCCAACCCCGGACCCCTTCCTACTGTTCTCACTTTTCCTTGGTGACTCCAGTGGCAAAATGTCTTCTTACGGAAAACCTAGAAACAGGATGGTGTTCTAATCTCTCTAGGGTGAGGAAGGGAAAAATTAGACCTTGCTTTAATTTCATTCTGTGTTAAACAAAATCTCAACTGGTCCTATTGGATGCCAGAGATAAACCTCAACGTCTGATGCTTTAATGTTCACCTCATGGAATCCACTTATTTTCTCTGCCAGGTAAACCAACTTTAATATGGTGGCCACAATCTTTTTTTTGGTACCGGGGATCGAACTCATGTCCTCACGTTTGCCAGGCAGGCGCTTATGCCACTGAGCTAAATCCCCAGCCTAGTGGCCACAATCTTTTGTGAACTTGTCTTTATGCATCTGGCCAGTCTATCCCTTGCCTGCTCTCACTATTTACGCTTTAGAAACAAGACCTGTTGTTTTCGCTGCCAACTTGATGCTAATTTTTACTTCTATGATTTGTTTACATTTTTTTCTCCTAAGAACTGCCTTTTCTTCCTCTTCTTCATGCTCCCAACTTGCCTCTCTTCTCCTCATATAGGTCTTTTTCTTTCCTTATGGGATTTTGGGATCCCATAATATTCTGTCCATAGTTGTATTATTCAGTGTACCATATAGTCAGTTACTTATCCACTTATAAGTTTGTTTCTCAAAAACTTACACTGGGGCCCTTGATTCTAGCTCTGCACAAAGTAAGTGATCAGTAAGTATCTGTGAGATGGCTGGGCAGCACAAGGAATCATCTCTGCATGGGTGATATGGACCAGGGCTGCAAAACTGAGCGTCTGCGAGCGTTATCTGGCCTCTGTAAATCCTGGGCTCCTTCCTCCTCACCCTGGCTCTCTTCTTAGGGCTGTGTTGCAGGGGCTATGGTCAGAAGCTGACCTGTCTGCTACTCCAGTGTATAAGTAAATCATGCGTGACCTTCCCTATCATGAACTGAGCAAGGACCACATTGTGTTCATTTAGGAAACTGAGCCAGTGTCCAGAATCTAATGGTTATATAACAGATCCCTTTTAAACGGAAGAACTACATCGATCAATCACTGTTGGAAAACAATGAAGTGTCCTGACACACACTTGGCACCAGTCTTTTTGAAGCAGGAGCGAGGAAACGCCGTTGTGTCTCTGGGACACGTACCCACTAGTCTTGCCTGCATGCACCCGAACACCGTGATAGGAGCATCCTTCTCATAATCCAGGAAGCCGCCGCTCCGCTGAGGTAAGCTGTGAGGCATGTTCAGGTTGGTGCGTATGTAGCGGCCTGGAAGAAAGGTTGACAGAGGCTGCGTGAGTTTCTTGTTCTGGGGATTTTCCTTGTTGACCTTGAAACCCCTTCCTTCCTTACTGAAGGACTAAACTGAATTGGCTGCAGAATATTGAATTGGATGTAAAATATTGAATCTGACACTTTTATTCAGGAGACTGGTATGGAATCTACTTTTCTGCTCTGCCAATACAAGTGACAAGGGACAGTTTCTAAGTGAAATAACCACCAGACATGCTAAACCAGGTGGCATTTTGTGACACCAATGTTATAATTTGGTCCCTCAAATGAAAAGGGAACCAGAGGAGCCAGGGTGATTTAAGAGAGGGAATTCTGGCCATGGAATCATGACATGTCCCTGAGATTGACTTTCTTGCATGACCAAGGGCCAGACATTTCTTTGGTCTCTTCTGCCTCAGTTTGTACAGTGGGGACAAGAGTATTTAGCTCTTCCCTAAGATCCAAGACAATCAGGAAGGATTTAACAGGTTACAGGCATTTTCTAATAGTATTCACACTCATAAATGACTCCAGGTGGGTAAATATAGCTTGTCTATGACCCCTAGAGGCCATGGTTGGTATGTCAGTTCCTCTTACATGCAGAAGGTAGGTTCCAGGATGACCAAGTGGATGCTTGAAATCAGATATCATGATTGAACATGTACATATATGTGTTTTTTCTACACAAGCATAATTAAGGTAGAATTTAATTCACCAATTAGGCACAGTGAGGGATGTATAATAAGATAACAATAATAACAATATACTGGTGTAAATGTAGTCTCTCATAAAATATACTATTGTACTGTGCACACCCTTCTTGAAATGATGTGGAAGGATGTAATATCTGTGCAGTGAGGTGAATGACATTAGGCTATTGTATAAGGGTCACTTGAACATAAGCACTGTGCTATGGTGACAGTGGAACTGATAACCAAGATGGATTGTAGGTGATTAGCGGGTGGGTGGCATACACAGTGTGGATACTCTGGAAGAAGATGATTCACCTAGGCTGGAGTGGGACGGTGGGCTATTTTATCACATTACGCAAGATGAAATGCCTTTAACATTTATGAATTGTTTCTGAAAATTTCCACTTAGTATTTTCTGACTGTGGCTGCTTGTGGGACACTGGAAGGAACCACAGACATGGACAAGGGGGCTGACAGCATTCACCTTTGGCATCAAAGCACTGAGACAGCCAGTACTTCCCAAAGACAACATCCATCCTTTCTCCATGCCGACACACGAAGAGGCACCGCTTCTGAGGTCCGGGCTGGCTGTTGACTCTCAGAGGCTGCAGAGGAAAAAAAGTGAATCCCAAGGAAGCATAGGGCTTTGTAGACATGACGCTGAGTTTTGCCAAGGTGTGGCTTTAAGTTCCTGAGAATCTTGGCTTTCAGTTGGCTGTTTGTATAAATAAGGATTTTAAGACCCATGCTACAGACCTCACAAATTATTCCTATGCTCAAATGAGATAAACTGAAGGTATGTTGTCAAATAAGAAGGGTTATGAGCCAGATTCACTGGTGCACTCCTGTAACCTTGGCTACTCAGGAATCTGAGGCAGGAAGATTGCAAGTTCAAGGCCAGCTTGGGCACCTCAGTGAGACCTTGTCTCAAGATATAAATGAGAATGGACTGTGGATCTAGCTTGCACCAGGGCTAAATCCTGGGCTCAATTTCTAGTACTACAAAAAACAAAGCGGGGAAGTGGGGGGGCATTGAAAGTGGTATTATTGTTGCTATTGCTCCCAGAAGGGGCAGCGTTTTCTCACTGCTAAAACACAAAGGCCAAGTGAGTAACGACTTGGAGATAAAAACTAGCCATTAAGGTCGTCCCTTGGTGGGACTGCTTCTCTCCCAAAAGCACGCTTCACTAGCTTCTTGAGGGGCCAAGCACTTCTACCATCATAAATGGGTCTGTCTTATTTCCGAAATGCCGTCGTGGTGACCTAAGGACCTTTTTGGTCCTACGGAAAGAGAATAATCATGACGCCAATAGCTCTTTGGTGTTTAGTGCTATCTGCTCCAGCTGTGAAGCCTGTTTGTCTACTCTGATCACGATGTGGGCTGTGCTGTCTAGCTGCATAGGTGTTCATGATCTCCGAAATGGTCTCAGAGGACAGCAGGTGAGGCCACCCAGAGACATGTCCGCATGCTTCTGGTTCCTAGAACTGCTGGTGGAAACTACAGATGTTCCTGCTTCTTCCTGACAGTAGTAGCTCTTCCTTTCCAGCTTCCTGGCGCTTCCAGGCAGCACTTCCATTAGCTTCTAGATGCTCTGACAAGGTTAATGTGTGCGTTGTGGAAAGGACTTTCCCACCTTCTTTCTTACCCTTCCCTGATGCACACCCTGGTTCCAGCCAGTGCTCCACTCTCTCCATCCTCACCATGCTCGAACTTTCACCTTGCCTCTGTCCACACCGCTCAACAGCTGCTGCTCTCTCCTCTCTCCCCTGACCTCTCTTGGAAGAGGTAACACATATCACACACTCACCATGTACTAGGAGCCTTATTTTAGTATTGTCTTTAATCCGCAGAACACAAAGCAGTTACAACCATGGGCATTATTCCTCCTTGAGAGAGAAAAAGCTCCTTCCTCTGCAACACGACCTTTCTTCCTAGCTCGGATGCAAATGCTGGTGGTCATTATTAGCACCACTCACTTGATTCTCTCTGGCCTTGAAGTAAACTTTCTATTATTTTCTGTGCTGTATCCTCAACAGGTTAGAGACCCTCTGCTGGTTGTAAGAGCAATGCTGACGCTTGCAAATCGGGGCTCAGCGTGTCATAATTAGACGTGAGGATGTGACTGCAGTCATCACTCTTACCTGCATGGGCTGGCAGATGATAGTAAGAGGTGTCGTCTCCCCGAGTCCCTGGTCGTCATAGTGCCGCCTCTCTAACACTCCGTCACCAAATGGAAGCGAGTTGGATGATGCCGTGTTTAAAATGGAGTAAGAACTGCAGAGGAAGATGAAGGAGATGGTAACTGCTTTGGCCAGGAGTCACCCTCATTTCATGCCAATGGAAATAAGCAGGAGACACGCTCTGGGGAGCACAGAGCCCAAGGGAACCGAGCAGAGCACACCCGCCCTGAGGAAGAATGTCTTGTTTTACATGGATGCGGCTAATAATGAGAAGTAAGTGGACTCTATACTGAGAACAGACGCTTTTATTCCTCTGGGCCAGGATGGGATTCACTGATTTTGTGCTTAGTAGGATGTCACAGGCAGGGTTGACATCACAGACATGTTAAAGAGTAATACAGTGTCAATTTTGTACCATTGTTTTCAGCGATTTTTTATGGTTCCAATGAAATAAACAATTCCTTTGCTTTTCATCTTTCTGTGGTAATTTCCATGTGATGAGAAGAATGAGAAGGATTTTTGTTTAGCTCTTTCTATCACGTTGCTCGTGGTTCTCACTGAGCTGTGTTCCACTGTTGGCTCCTGGTTGCAACTGCCACGCCCAGCTTGTTTTGATTTTTTGAGACCGGATCTCACTGTGGAGTCCAGGTTGACCTTGAACTCGTGGTCCTTCTGCCTCAACCTCCACAAGTGCTGGGACTACAGGAGTGCGCTACCTTGCTGGGTAGAATTTTATTTTTGAAAATAACTTTTTATATCTCCCAAGAACATTAAGCTAACTGGTTTGCAGCAGATTTTCTTTTCAGAGAATTGTGTGATTTTAATACTTATGAATCCTCTTTGCTGTCAGAAGTCTCCTTTACCTCTTTTTTCTTTTTAAATGACGAATGATAAACTCATTGTATTAATAAGCCAAGTTCTCAGAGGCCTTATACCCCGACAAACTGATTTTCAGCTCTGTGCATATTAGAACCTTTAAACACTACTCCTGCCTGGAAACGGCTCCTTTACAGTGGGCGGTTCAGAGATGAGGGGTGCGACCAGGGGCCGACAGAATAGCACAGCTGCGTCAGGAAGTCTATTGTGCAGCCGAAGGCAAGTTTCTACGCACAAATCTTCGTAAGCGTAGCCCATGAACTGACTGCCATTCATGCAGTCTAACAGACCAGCAGTTTTCCTTTATTTTTACACTGACACCCTCTGGAACAGCGGAGTTACAGAAAATTCAGTTTTCCTGTCTGGTTCATCAAGGCTTCAGGGCCCGGAAGTGCCTGGCTCTCTGGAATTGGGCTGACAGCCTGCTTGGATGTGTCTCCAGTTTTTTTTATTACAGCTGGGAAGACACTGGTAGGATCGCTTCTCTTCCTGTTTCAGCTCATTTGGCAAAGAGAACATCAGCCTCCTCTTCTCCTGTCATTGGAATCAAAGGACCCAGTTCCCTCTGAGACATCGCGGGGGTGTGTGTGTTCCCGGAAGACAAAAGAGGGTGCCCTATGCTGAGAGCAGGGTGGGGAGGAAGCCAGGCTGGCACCAGCACTCAAGCCCTTTGGACATGCTGGCTCCTTCCTACAACACAGTAAGCCCGTGGCAGGCCTGAAGGGCAGTCCCCCCACTTCACGGGACACAGTGGAGTTCCATCAGCTGCCAAATACCCAGGGGCACTCTGAAGCAGGGAGGACAGTCCAGGGGACAGCACGAGGCACCCAGAGGACAGAGAGGCACAGGGCTGCAAAAGGCATGCAGGGCCCTGGGCCAAGTCTCCTCTGCATGTTCCCACCAAGTCAGTCTGGCCAGAACATAGCTTCTGGGCTCCATCACTCTGGCCTGTCACTGGTCAGGACAGGAGAAAGGTGGTCTCACAGTGGAGCAGGACACTGTCTCCTTGAGACGTTTCCAGGTTGGTTCAAACAGAGGGTAGTTTGGGGAAGAGACATTTGATTTGATAAGCATGGGAATGAGAACTGGTAAATACAAGATAGAAAAAAAGAGTGCCCCAAATGCTAATGGTAACTGAGTATCCAGTGCTACTGTACATCTGACACACAGCCAGTAAAGCTAAGCCCTAGGAGATAAGTGCAATAATCACCTCCATATTATGGTGAACGAAGCAGCCCAGGGAGGTGGTATAACCTGGCCACACAGCTGGTAAACGGGAGAGCTGGGCTTTGACTCCAAGATTATTGGTTAAAATTCAATTTTTTTTTCCCAGACGAGCTCTCTCTTTGTAGTTCAGGCTAGCCTTGAACTAACAGTGCAGCCCAGTTGGCTTCGAACTCACTGTGGTCTTCCTGCCTCAGCCTCCCGAGTGCTGGGATCAGAGACATGTGCTACCACACCTGGCTAAAATTCAGATTCTTGGTGGGAATGTCCTGTTGTTTGATGCTAATATTTCCCTACTCTAGCAGCATTGGCTGTTGATGCCAGTAGTTGGATTTTAAATGTGATTCCTTAGAAACAACATCACTGGTAACCCCTCAAAGTAAAAGGAGATGGCACATGGACCGTGCACCCTGCTGACTGAAGTCACTTAGGCTCAGCTAGGTCTCTGCCTGAGCTCTAATTCAGGGACAGGTGGTATAGATGGGGGGATCTTACTCGGGGCATCAGGGCTTTTTATGCATTCTCTACTCTCGTCTAGAGCCCGTGGTGAGGCAGCATAGCTCGGGGCTGGGCTTCCTGTGACCAATCAGCTCTCAGCTCTCGGTTACTCACACGAACAGCGGCTGTCACTTAGCAATGTGCACGCGTTCTGAGAAACGTGTTAGTGGTTGATTTCATCCTTCTGCGGCACCAGAGGGCACTCAGCCCCACTGGGTGCCATGTCACACAGCGGTGTGACCTTAGTGGACTTCTGTCTTTCTATCACTCCCCGAAACAGCGTGCGTTATCATGTGACTGCATTTGGCTCTATTTCTTACTCTACAGATAAAATAGTGATGTTGGAAATTCAGCGTCTTCACTTTGATTTTTCACGACCATTTCTGAAAAAGCACTTGTGGACTTGTGGTGGACCTTCACGGGGATGGCTGTGAGATAGGACAGGGGAGCGGTGAGCGTCCAGTTACTGAGGAGGAAAATGCTCCTTCCAGCTTTGAGTTCCTGGTTTGTCTGCTTGCTGCTCACCAGGGAAGGGGCTTTCTTTTCGTTTCCACTCTAGGCAGAACCCTAGCAGAAACCGCCCTTCTCACTTCTCTTTCATGGTACTGATAAGGATATTAGCCCCCCTGCAACTGCTGCCCGAGATTCTGCCTCTCAGGCATTTTGCCACATGACAGAAACAAGAGGGAGGAAAAACTAACCAGCACGCCTATCCTGGCTGGGTCCCTGCCCATGCCAGGGAAGGGCTGGCTCTGGGATGCTGGCATTGAGAAAGAAGAGATGCTCTTGTTCTTATTTGGATCTATCACAACAGAGCTGGCCCAGCAACACAGACCACTCTGACAGTCGCACCCTTATGGACTGGGAACCAAGCAGTAGTGAGGGACAGGTGGAAAGCTGTCGCTGGAAAGAGTGGGGTAGCACACCCCTGGGCAGTTCTGGTAGCTGTCTGTTGGCTCAGGTCCAGTCCCTGGTGACTCAGCACGTGTGTGCCAAGTGAGGACCTGCTCAAGGTGGCCTCGCCAGTGGGGTGTAGTTGGGGGCCCTGAGCCTAGCAATCCACGCTGTTTGTTTGTCTGCCACAGTAGTAATCTGCCTGGTTGCTGTTGGAGTCAATCTAGCTGAACTGAGGCCATGAAGCAGTGAAGACCCAGCACCTGAAGCATGAAGACCCAGCCCTGAGAAGTTACCACTGTCAGCCAGAGAGATTACTTTAGATTTTTCTCTGATCAGGCAGGGTGACAGCACAGTGAGCAGCATGGTGCATTACTGTCTTTTCCCTGCCTGGAGTCAGCCTCCTCCCCTTGGCTCCGCTTCCTGTCACAGCTGCCCTGTGGTCCAGGACTGAGTCCACTTCCTCACCACCTGCGGAAGTCTGCCATAGCAATGTGCTTCCAGCAGTGGGAGGCTGAGGTTGGAGCCTCCTTACCCGTGGAAGATCCAGGTGCTGCACTCGTCAGCCTTGGTGATGTAGTTCTCGGGCAGGAGCCCTGAGCAGCCAGTGGTGAGGGAGGTGCCATAGATCCAGCCTTCGCTGGTGCTGGTCTGCTCCATGGGAGACATGAAGATGAAGTCCCCCGGGACCAGCTCTAGCTCATCATCATTCTGCGGGGTGTAGGGGTAGATCACTTGCAGCGTCTGAAAAAGCAAGAGAGGCTGTGTGAGCCCACCCATTCTCGACTGCCTCGAGGGTGAGAATCTGTAAAGCTGGTACACAGCACCAGGTGGGGGTGGGTGGGGTCGCCAGGCCCTGAGTAGATCTGGGTGCCTATCAGAAAGTGTTTCTTTTCTCGTTGGGGTTTTGTGGGTATGACCCTGGTGCTCCTGGATGGTTCTTTCTCACTTCCCCTCAGGATTCAGAGATGCATTTCACAAACTGCCTGAAAGCTGAAAGGCTCTCGAGTCAACTGCTGCCTTACTGGATTTTGCCCTGCCTGCCTGTGGTGGCTGCAGCTCATGGAAACTGGGTAGGTTTGGGAATGAAAGAATCCCCATTCTCTATATCTCAGCTGTTTAAATGAGGAATTTCTTTAAAGCCTCAGTTTTAACAAAGGCCTGGAAGAAAACTGTCCTTCACAGATGATGGCGCATGTGTCTCTGCATAACTAGCCTTCATCTCAGGGCAGGTGGCGATCACGCCTTCCTTCTCTGAGCTCAGAAAAGCCCCTGAGGCTAACATAAGGCCATGCCACTTGGCTGATTTATTCTACTTTCGAGAATCTGTCTTCCTGGTGTATATAGGCATATTGGCCTAAATATATTTTAGAAAAAATTTATTTTCCTATTTTTTTAATTAGCAGCAGAAGACCTCAATAGTAAGTAAGATATTTCCTATCCTATTTGTTTGGCAAGGGACATCAATATGGAGGATATTTTTCCTAGCCTTTTCTACTGTCCCAAAACTGTGAATCGGCTAAATAGTCTGGTTCTGATCATTGGATATTTACCTTTTTTTTTTAATCCATGAAATAACATCTGGACTACAAAAGTTAGATGAGACAGTGTGAGCCCCTGCCTTGGGACAGAGCCTGCACACGGGGGTCGAACTCACTTCTGCTGAAGTGTGATGCCATCCTGGCTGCCGACCCTGCCCCCCAGCCAGGAGTGAGCCCATCGGACGGCGTCAGAGGGCCACCAGTGCACCTGCTGAACAAGGCAATGAAAGGAGCCAGAAAATGTGGTTTAGCTCGGGGACGAGGTCAGCCAGGCACAGAGCTCAGGTGAGCGCCGGATTGCTACACGAGGTGCTAGTTTCTTTCCTGGTTCTGCCTGCAGCGTCCTTCAGCTCTGAACCTGCCTGTTCGGATCCCCTCCATTCTCCTGCTCCTGTGCCTCACAGATATACAAGCTGCTTTTCCAACTAACCAGGGACATTTCTGCAGGGCTCATTTTTTTTTTTTTTTTTTAAGGAAAAAACAAGTCCACAAAAAACTTGCTTAACTCTCAAAGCTGGGGAAGTGGTGATATGAGAGGGCAACATTCCTTTTCCTGGAACAGGGTGGAGCGAGGCTGAATCAGTGAACAAGTCTAAACTCCTGCTCCTGGGATAGGTTAGAGCAATCTCAGCTTATACTGTCTCCCCTCTAAACAGTTCCAAGCAGCCCAGAGAACTCATTTTAGAGTTCAAAATTCTTTTTTTTTTTTAATCAGACAGGGTCTCACTCTGTAGTTCAGGCTGGTCTCGAACTCACAGCAATCCTCTTGCCTCAGCCTCTGAGATGTTGGGATCATAAGCCTGTGCCACCACACCCAGCACTAGAGGGTCAGTATTTTACCTCAAGGATTTATCAACGCACAGCAAAGTTTGGAGACAGTCTATCCTAAGACAGAATAATTGGACAATAAGGAGCTTTGACTTATTGGATGAACACTATAAAAACCGAGCACTGCGGGAAATCTAAACTTATCACTGTGGGGCTGTCGATAGAATATGTGCTTAGGATGTTGGAGACTCTGGGTTCCATCCCAGCATCAAAAACTTTACAAATGAAATAAAATATTAACTGGGACTCAGATCCTCCTGCTCTTTCCCACTCCCCAAAGGCAGTTACAAAAACTCAGCCGAAGTGATGGGCATCAGGACACAGTGCCTACTTCATACTGTATACCACTGCTGTTTCGGTTTTATGATTAGCATCTGCTTGTAAGAATTCTTTTTTTTTATTTAAGGAGAAAAGAAAAAAAAACAGTGAAAGGGTACAAGTCTGTCTCAGGTGTGTTTTCCTTCTTCACCTCAGAGTTTGCTAACTGATGGGCAGGCGGAATCTTATGTGATAATAAACTGAACCACGTTACCCTTGAAATCCTTTTATTCTTTGACACAGTGAGATTCACTGCAGTAATTTTTCTGTTAAAACCGCCCAGTGGTAGGCGTTACATTACGGGCTGCTGTGGTTTGGATTTGAACCGTCTCCCCAAACTCATACGTTAAAGGCCTGGTTGCCAGCTGACGGGCTTTGGGGAGTGATGGATACTGAGGACTCTAATCTCATCAAGTGGATTAATCCATGCATGCAACTGTAATTTGATGACACTCCTGGGAGATGGTGGAAACAGAAGGTGAGGTCTACGTGAAGCAGTGGGTTGTACAGATGTGATCTCCGGGGTCACATCCAGTTATTTCCTCTCTGGCTGTTTCCTTTGGTCTCTGCTTCCCATGAGATGAGCAGCTTTGTTCCCCGTGTCCCTCCACCATGATGTCCCCTCTCATCTCAGGACCACAGCTGTGGGACCAGCTGGCCATGGACTGAAACTTTCGAAACCATAAGCCACAAACAAGTCCAAGACATTTTATCACAGCAATGGAAAGCTGACTAACACAGCAAAGGCCTTGCTGTGCAACCTTTTATTTAGTCTGTGCCACAGTGTAGTAAAACGCTACCACCGCCTTATGCTGAGAGCATTAAGGACTGAAGAGTCCAGTTATTAAAGTGAATCTAATCACTGCTAACGTGAAGGAGTCGGGATTTGAAGCCAGGGATGCCAGACTCCTACACGTGTGCTTTTTGTAGAACTCTATCCTTCCTCTAGATTTCTATTGCTTGGTACACAGAAGCAGCATGGTCCAGAGTCACCACTAATGTGGAAGAGACTTTGCCAGGACAAACAGGCATCTGCAAGCCTGTAGCAACTAAGACTCTTGAAGTTTTCCACGTCCCGAGCACCCTTGTCTGAGTCAATCTCCTCTTCTGGGCCTCTGCCTCCTCACTGGCAGTCCATCATGCCCACTTCCTGGGGAAAGGGTGGGAAGGAGGAAGGGGATAGCTCTTGTTCTGCAGAAAGGCTCCTGGAAAATGGGAAGCCCTCAGAGGCAGGGTCTTTGGTCTAAAGGGGCCAAGGAGCGCTGTGTCAGAAGAACAGTAATAAATGAGCTTTTACAAATAAGAGATAAAAGAGGCCACGTTATTTTTAGAAAAGAATTCATGAGCGCTTGCTGCCTTTCCATGCCAATTGAGCAGAATGTGGGTCAGGTAGAAAGCAATCACCCTCTGAGTTAAGTGGAGGGCAGCACTGATTGGAGGATGTGCCTTGTAAAATTCCACTGCAGGGTGTCTTCTCTCAGAAAGGTGACTTTCCAGAGCCCATCTGCAGGCAATCATTGACATCTTTCATCTTCACCCCAGAAAGTGCTCAGCCTCATCTTTAGCCTTATCCCAAGTCACCCAAGGAGACTCTAGAACTCTTAAATTCAGCCCCAGTCCGCTTAACCTGTCTTTTCAGAAGCCTGTATCAAATGGCTCAAAAGGAGGCTATAAGATTGTCATCTGCAAAGCTGCAAAGCTGCACCTCCCTCACAGGCGCCACTTCTAACCCTCAAGATTTGGTTCCTGGGTTGGTTCTTCCTAACACTCCAGGACAAGAGTTGCTTGGTCTAAAGCCTGAGATTCCATCTCTCTTTCATGTTAGAAAAAAAAAGCCTAAAATAGAAGATTTGTTTTTTTGTTGTTTTTTAAAGGTTGTATAACCTAACAAAAAAACCTCAGGTCTTTTACTACCAAAAAAATTGGGAAAACAATTGTAAATTTTGTTGAATAAATGCAGTTAAATCTGAAGAAAAATTCTTCCTCTACAGTGGTTTGCCTTATCCACAAGGGACTCATTGGGAGATCCCTTGTGGGTGCCTGAAATCTTGGACAGTAGCCAGCTGTAGATTATGAACAGTAAGAGACCAACAACGGTAACTAATCATGAAATAGAACAACTATAACACTATGCTATATTAAAAATTATTTAAAACATGGCAGGGGAGGCTCAGGAGTTTATTTCTGGGATTATTCATTTATTACCTTCAGACTGTGATTAACTTGCATAATGGAGAGCCCAGAAAGGGACATCACCAACAGAGAAGGGCAGCTGTATGGGATTTTACGTCTTTTCTTAGATGTGTTGATCTTTACTGATCAAAATACTTAGGCTCAGGCTTTACCTCTGATCCTTACTTGCTTGTTTTTGGACCAGCCACTTCCTCTGTCTCAGGCTGTCTTTGAGGACACAAGGGACCATATCACTCTTCCAGCATCAGTCAGTCTTTCATGCTTGACTGCAAAGCAATGTGGATTCCCTCAAAAGAAGGATGCTCGGAGCTTCCCCATCTGTCTGCCTGCAACCAGATTCAGCTGCCCACCCACGCTTCTCAGCGGGATGCACCAAACCTTCACAAGGACTGGGCTGAGTTTTCTTTTCACAGTCTTATTCATCTGACCTGCTCTTTGAGGACAGGGCCACAGTTGAAAATTCAAGCTCTTCATTATGCCTTCACCATTTTTTGTATTTATATATTCCTTAACTCACCTACGGTCGGAATGATGCTTGCTATAAACACCAATAACTAATATAATGTTACATTCTTTCCAAGCATATTTTCTATCTGTTCCCCATTTTATTTCTACATCCCTCCACGGTTGGCAGGGCACACAGAATCATGGGGACATTACCTAAATGAACCCTTTGGGGTACAGTGAGAAGGATGCATGCTCAAAGCTTCCCAGGGAGTTAACAGAACCTGGACAAAACCCTGAGCAGGTGCTTGCTTTGCTGCTCCCCATTGGTGCATCTGCCAGCAACAAAGTGCACTCCTGCTTCTGATCACATCCCTATCTGCACTTGACAGCATCATGAATTGCAGTGAGACATTACCTCGTGGTTCGCGAATCGGATATCCCGAGAGAATATGGTGGCCACCCAGTCGCACCCTAGTTTGACATCGATGTTCTGGGCTAGTTTCTCCAGCGTGGGTAGGTGGCTGGCTTGGAAGTGATAAGCCAGAGTAACATGCAGCTGCTTCTTATGAGGTTCCACGTGTACTTCTGGAAAGAGGCAGAAAAGGTCTGTGATCAGAGTGTGGTGATCACAGTAACGGTGGGGAGGTAAGAACCAGCACAGAAACGTGCCCTGATCATTTCTGCTCCCTAAATGACAAAGGAAGGAGAGCCTTAATTAGACAAAAGCGGTCTTTCTCTTTCATAGCAGCAGAAACAAGGGAAGTGGCTCACAGACCCTGAGTCACCCCACCATCCAGTAAGTAAAACCCATATGGAAGATCGTGTGGGAAGCAGCTTCAAAAGGAAAGAGAAACTGGGATGGGAAATGAGAAAAGGAAGGAAAAACTATATAATACTTAAGATAGTGATACTACTAATTTCTCTCAGTTCATTGAAAAGAAAGGTTTGTGCTAATATTGTTTGAACAATGAAATGTCAATATCTTGTACTCTGAGTAATGTAAAGATAATACACCATTCACTAACCATTGGTATCCTCTTATTATGTTGCTTGAAATTTTGTTTTATTATTTTTCTTTAAAATAAAAAATGGCTTTTGTACAAGCATGATAGATTGGCAGAGGGATAATCCTCTTGGGGTGGCTCCTTCTCGTGATAATCCCAGTTGATCATCACTGGCTCCACCATTCAGATGAAGAAACCAAGACTTAAAAGGATGAGATAGTTTCTATAGAAATAGCATGTTTTATAGCTGCATGATTCCCACAGCTGAGTTGCCTTCCTTTAGGGATCAAGTTTTTTAGCTTCTGGGTGAGTCTGATGGAGGAACACAATGGGAAAATAGAATGTCTTCAAAGTTACAGCAAGGCTTGCAAACTGCATCTTGAATGGAAAGCTATTTGTGGTAAGGGGCTTCCTTGTGCATTACACGTAGGATGCTTAGCAACATCCCTGGCCCTAGTAACGAGGTGCCAGTAGTGATAAAGGCAGAGGCTGTGGCAACGCTGACTGAGGAAATGGGTGGGATCTGTCAAGTACCAGATGCCAGGACAACATGAGGACCCATATGCAGGACTTCTCGGGAGCTCCTAGGAGATGTGGATGGCACAGAAGAAGAGCGGCCGTCACAGAAAGCTGTTATCGTGCCTAAGTCTGCATGGCGCTTCTCAGACACGGTGTGAACTATTACTTTTGCTTTTATTCTCTTTTTCTCTTTACTCAGCCCAAGTCTGCTCTGCAGAGCTGGTTTCTCCCCTAGCCATTTACCCCACACTTGTCAAAGCATCACTAGAGTATAAGACCCCAAAATGATTTCAAGCATTGCTAAGTGTTCAGGGCTAGGGGTGAAAGCACCCCGGATGATAACGCCTTCAGACTGTGAACTGAGGGGGTAGCTCCTAGGAAAAGCAATTGCCTACTAGGCACAAGGTCCTGAGTTCCGTCCCTTGGGCATGTTAGGTGTACTGTTAAATAAACAAAATAAAGTGTGCAGGTTACAAGCCACCCTAAAAGCAAAAGAAATCTACTCATATGAGGGAATGGCTTTTATTTCTTGTTTATACTTCAAGCAAGGGAAAATCATCTATTATTCAAGCCAGATTAATGAAGAAGATAGGACCGTAAGGCTTCACTCTCCCAATACCCAACCTGTCTGCCCACAGAGATATTGTTTCCTGCTCAATGCCAGTGTCCTTGGCAAACTCAGGATGTCTTAAAAGAGATAAGGTGGAACACAGATTATAGCTAACAACACCCGGGCTTTCACATCGCACACCTTGAGGACTTGACCCACGGAGGCATGAAACATCCGGAGATCTTTGACCACTGTGTTTGCTCGCGTCTTCCTGCCTAGTGTTTCTTACTTTCTTTCAAGCCCTATAAAAAAACCTGCGTCTCTTTGCTCCCTGCAGACGGCCTTTTTGTCCTCTGTCTGCCTGCACCCAGGCACAATAAATTCCACGCCACGTTGCCTTTATACAAGTCTGGTGGTCTAGGCTGGTCTCTGCTTTGCACTGCTCCTTATAACAATTAGACGAAAGCAAGGCATTCCAGCAGTTAAGTCACTTGGTCCTGTCACATAGAGTAGGTGGCCAAGCTAAGCTGGAACAAGAAGTTGGGTCCTAGAGTTTCAAGTAATTTTTCTGTTATCTCTGTGGAGGGAGCAGCATGAGACCAGGCATTTTATCCTTGTCTATAATGTATCTCTGCTCAGACATCACATAGGATTTCAGTAGTTGTTGAATAGATGAAGACACATACGGGAGCCCCTTTAAACTACCCAGAACAGAGAATGACACCCAATCTACTGATAGAAGGAACCGCAGTGTGCCAATAACTGGACTACCAAGGCAGAAGTTCTAGGACAAGACATGATGATGTGTTTTGGATCTTAGGTGTTAAGAGACGGAACCAGCTACAACTAGCCCGGCCATGCAGTTCCCCAAATCACCACCAGGAGGCGTCACACAGGCAGAGATCCCAAGTCCCACGCGTTCTTGGAGAGGCACAGCAGATTCTTGGAGAGGGCCTGGCTGTCCCCATTCCCACACGGAAATCCAGGGGCCCGACTGCCTCTCCTTCCATAAGCACTCTAAGAATCCGCCGCACTCCTGGCTGAGACCTGCTTTTCTGATTTGTGAAGGACTTGGGTTTTGTGTCTACATCAATAGTTTTGGTTCTTGTGGGGATTTAGTGGTTGTGTCAATAGCTACTGTGGAAAGGGAAGAAAAAAAAGCCATCTGCTTGTCTAAGAACGGGAATTGATTTGGCTCTTTGTACGCTCTTTCTCTGAAATAATTCAGTCTGGGTGAAATAGCAGGCTGTACTGAAGCCAGAATCCCAAATCAGGTCCCTGGGAGAGAGGGTGCCTCACGAAAGGGAGCAGACTCAGGGTGCTCTGCCCCATGTAGACATAAGGGAGCCACACGCTTGAACACAGAGAGCTCCCACAAAGTGTTTTAAGGGCCCAGAGCTCCGTCTGAGAGCAGAGATGCGCTGGGATCCTGCAGTGGTGTCTGATCTCACTCTTGCTGGCTCCTGGGGTCTATTTGAGGTTTTTCTGGTTCGGAGGAACACAGAGCAAGCAGGTCCAGATTGGTACTGAAACCGCAGCAAATAACAGTGCAGCTGAGATACAGCTGAAAGTTAACAGACTCCGGAGCAAATGCATGACTTTGCTCGGCTCCCTCCCTCTGTGAACCCCATAAAGTGTGGGGTTGGCAAGCGTGGTGTCTCCTCCAGCTTTGCATCCAACACTTGGCCGACTGTGCAGCCCAAGCTCGCCCCGCTTCCCTATCCCTGCAGCCCTGGAGAGGCCCTTCGCCACCTTCCTGATCGCCTCTGCCCAGCTCCGGTCTCCCCTGCAGACACCCACACCCGCCTCACCCTCCTTGGCGCCCTTTCCAGAGTGCCCGAGTCTGGCTTCCTAACTGCCTCGATTTCTTTTCTTCTTTCTGTCCTTTTCTCCAGTTCTGGGGACTGAGTCCCAGACCCTACACTGAGCTGCATTCCCAGCCTTATCTTATGTTTTGATTTGAGTCTTAGTCTCCCAAAGTCATGAAGCTGTCGAGGCTGGCACTGAACTTGCTTCAGCTTCCCAGAGTGCTGAGATTGGCAGGTGAGCTCTTACTTGCTTCTTCATGGCACTGTTTTCCATAAACACGTACTTAGTGTCCACAAAACTACCATCTGAGTGTGACTCCACTTGGAGGGCATAACAGAGGGCCCCTGCTCCCAGACTGTCTGTCTGTGCTGTCAAGTGAGGCAGTCACCCAGCCCTAGGAGCCCATTTGCCCCTGGGGCCACACAGCTGAGCCCTGCAAACGCCTCCCTCCAGTCCACTCACATCCCGAGCATGCGTGTGAGCTAACCCTGATGTGGACATCTTGGTTGGCTTGAACCAAGAGCTGTCAGGGACAGAGCTGGAGACCGAGCATGAGGTTACAGTTTTGGGCAGACTTTTGAGGATTTAGGTCTCTCTAAGGGGCTCCAGCAAATTGAAGGGTATTGGCTCAGTGGGTTTTCTCATGATTTACTACAAATTGGAACGGAGTAAACATCAAGAGTCCAATAAACACTGCTATGGGGAAGGTGGGGGAAGCAAGGCAGGTTCCCTGTTTCCAACCAGGGTGAAACAGGATGGTGCTGCAGAGCACATCTGTAGTTCAGTGCTGGCTGCCACCGGGCACCTCAGCCGGGTCTGAGGAGGAAGCAGGGACGGTCTCTCCAGGAAGCTGGTGGGACAGCAAGGTAGCGAAGGGACTTGGGGATTCTTGCCCTGTGCATCCACTTTGGCAGTGCCTTCTGCCCTCCGCCTCCAGCCTACTCCCATACGGCTGTCACGGCTGGGCTGTGAACCGTCAGGATGTGAACACAGAGGCCACGTGTGGAGGGAAGGCTTGGTCCCCAGCGGTGAATCTGGGAGGCGGCAGAGCCTGGGAGATGTGGAGCCCAGGGGAGGTGGATGGGTCACCCGGGTGGAGCCCCCAAGGGGATATTCAGACTCTGGTCCTTCTTTTCTTGGTTCCCAGCTCCCGCCTACCTTTGCTTACCCCCAATCCTTCCCAGCTCCGCCATCCAGGCCCGAGGCCGGGCTCTGCGCGCGCTCACCCGTTTTGGATGCAGCCTCAGCAGCGAAGTCCGCAGCGAATTTCTTGAGGACCTCAGCGCTGTCCTCCTTCACGAAGAGGCCGATGAAGTTGGAGGAGGTGTAGAGCTCCAGGGGCAGCGGTGCCGAGAACTTACACTTCCAGCGGCTGACGGTGGTCTGCAGGGCCTCCCCCAGGGCATCCACCTTGCTGTCCTCACACTGGTGGGGTGGGGGAGAAGGGAGGAGTGGACGTCACTCAGGGCACTGGAGTCTGCTGCCCCTTAACGCTGGATGTGCTTGCCTCCCCTGGGGCCTGGGGGCTGAAACCGGGGCTCCTGCCTGCTGGATCAGGCTGGAGAAGAACGGGGCTCCCCACTACCCAAACACAGTCTCCACCTGGCGAACTGAGCGACTGAGCGGCGAAGGTTCAACCCCTTCTCTTCTTCCCTGGCTGAGCCCACCGCCATGCAGGGCTCGTTTAGCAGACAGCAAGAATGAGGGTTGGGCTGGGTCGAAAATTTCAGTTAGACAGAAGAAATAAATTCCAGAGAGCTATTGTGCAGCAGGCTGATTACAGTAATAACAGGGCGATATATGACTGAACACTGCTGAGACAGTAGATTTTAGGGTCCAGGATACAGCTCAGTAGTCAAGCACTCATCTAGCGTGAAGAAGCCCTTGGGTTTGATCCCCAGCACTGGGAAAACAAACGTTAAAAGAATAGATTTTAAATGTTCTCATCACAGTAAATGTTCCGTGAATACACGGTGAATACACCGTGAATACACGGTGACACATATACTAACTAGCTTGATTTAACCACTCCACGATGTACACATATATCAGACCATCATAAATACATGTAATTTTTTAAAAAAAATAAATTTTCTGAGCCGTGGTGGTGGCTCACACCTGTAATTCCAGCATTCAGGAGGATCGGTGCGAGTTTGAGACCAGCCTGGGCTACAAAGTGAGCTAAAGACCAGCCCGAACTGCATAAAATAAAATAAATTTTGTTTGCTCAAAAACCGAAACCGAAAGAAAAGCAAAGAGGAATCCGATGAGAGAGTACAGGATAAACTGTTTGTGTTTTCCACCGCTTAGCAGAACGTGTACCTTTTCAGTTCCCTTTAGACACCCGAGGTGTCTGCACATCCACCCCCAGACCTGGAAGAACGAAGCGCACGGCCGTGATGTCACCCTCCTCCCTCTGCAGTGCATTGAAGGGAAAACGAGCGTCTCTGAATGCTCGGTGCTTTTGAGAAAGAGCGTGCGTGACTAAGAGGAAGCGATAAGCACTTTAGTTTTCAAAGTGAATGCAAAAAAGAAGGTGTTAGGAACACGTTTTTCATGAGAGAGAGAGAGAGAGAGAGAGAGAGAGAGAGAGAGAGAGAGAGAGAGGAGGCTGGCGGCAGGTGGGGGTGAAGAAAAGCAAAATCTCTTTTTAAAAGATTTGTCCTGAAGGGTACAGCGATGCACGCCGGTCAGTTCTAGCAGTTGGGCAGACCGAGGCAGGAGGACCACATGTGTAGGCCAGGTTGGGCAATTGAGCAAGCAGCTGTCTCAAAATTAAAAAGTAAAAAAGGTCTGAAGGTGTGGCTCACTGTGAAGGCCCTGGGTTCAGATCCTGGTACCACACACACACACACACACACACACACACAGACACAGGCTTAAAATGCTACCATTCTACTTGTCTTAAAGATAGGTGCTAAGAACTGTTTGCAGTGTCACTTTTTGAATGTCATTTTAAATACTTTAGTTTTGTAACCTGAACAGCTATTTCTAAGATGACAATATGTAACTTACCAACAACGATTTCTTACCGTTTATTTTTCTGTAATTTTGTATTATTTCTACTCTTTTTTTTTATCTCCCTGTATTTTTTTGTTTCCTTTTCTTTAAATAAAAAAAAAATAAAAGATAGGTGCTAAGTCAATTGTTCTTTATTTCCAGGGGAAGCTATACAGATGCATTTCTTTAACATATTGCAAGGACTGGATTTAATTTGGTTGCTAAATGATTTTCCTTCCTTCCTTCCTTCCTTCCTTCCTTCCTTCCTTCCTTCCTTCCTTCCCTCCCTCCTTCCTTCCCTCCTTCCTCCTATTAGTCCTGTATTGGGCCCAGTGCCTTCACACTGAGCTACACTCCCAGCACTCTTGTATTTTGAAACAGGATCTCAGTAAATCACTCCATTGCCTGGGCGGAGCCTGAATTTGGGATCCTCCTGCCTCATCCTCACAGCCATGTGCCCATATAAATCATCTTCTCATGGCTACGATGATGGACTACAGCAGTGGCAAGTGACAGATAGGTTCACTTTCTCCAGGAAGCTCCAGCGGAAAACCCCACGGCCAGCACTGAGACCCAAACAACCGACCGTCTATTCCCTGCTGTCTCTGGCTTCGCTGCTTCCCCTGGAAGAGTGGAGAGGGAGACAATGACAAGGCTGAAGGCACCGTGGTGGCTGCTCCAGCTGCAGACCAGTGCACCAGCCACAGAGGGTCAGGCGCGTCCCTCGAGTGGGAGGAGCACAGCCTTCGTGATGTCCACTGGGCCCAGGTGCTGCTGGGCCTCTGCAGTGACAAAGGCAAGAGGAGCTGGGGAGAGACCCGCTCTGACCCCTGACTACCATGGTCTTCCGGTGCCCCGCTCTTCCTCCAGGTCCGAAGGGGCCAACAGGGCCACTGGGAGACAGGCTGCGGGGCGCAGGGGCCAGAACTCACCATGAAGAACTGGCAGAGGGTGATGTGGGGGAAGATGTTGTGAGCCTTGTTCTTCCCGCAGATCTGCTTCGACTGCTGCCAGAAGTCGGACAGCTTCTGCGCTAAGGGGCCAGTGGGGCGGAGGTAGAGGACGTACTCCCTGGGCAGGGGGTCATCCAGGAAGGGGTCCCCCACATGGGAAAACAGCCTGGAAGAGAGACGAGAGCCTGAGAAGCCTCGCTGGGGAATAATGGAAGGAAGGAAGGGCAGACAGAGACAGACCCACCCTCCACGTGGTCCCTGCTGGGGCACTGCACAGGGAAGGTGCTCATCTGTGCTGTGGAAAACTGCCATTTGTGGTTCTCGCCTCGTAACCAACGCTCAGACGTACCCACTTCTGTTCTCCTGCATCTCCTATCGCCACCTCATCCTACAGCTCCCTAAAAACCCTGCAGCTGCTCTCCAGGAAGCATTCTTGGCTTAACTCCACAGCCTTTCCCCATCCTGCAGAACTGTCTCCATGCATCCAGCCTCTCCGTTCAGCCTAGGAAGAGGCCCAAGCACCCACAAAGAAAAAAGACGCCCCAAGGACACTGTGGGATCCCCTAGGCACAGGTGCCTGGAAGGAATGTGGGATCCTTTTCTAAATGGATTTGCCCAGCATCCATATACTTGCAGTGAATTTTGAGGGGATGGTGATGCAGGTACTGGGAATCAAACCCAGAACCTTTACACCAAACTGTCCCAACCTTGATTGACTGATTTATTTATTTTCAATTTTGAGCCAGGGTCTTGCTAGGTTGCGTAAGTTGGGCTTGAACTTGGGGGGAGGGAGGACTTGAATTTGCATTCCTCCTGCCCCAGCCTCCCATAGTGCTGGATGTGGGTTTTTGCCATGGTACCAGCTTAAAGTGGACCTTTAAGAGACTGGAGGGAGGGAAGTATTCAGAGAAGGTCTATCTGAAAATGACTTTGAATGTCTCTAAACAGCTCCAAGGACAAGTACCCCCTGGGGTCGGGGCAGCTGAGGCAATTGGCTTGATAAATGGCTTTGTCTCTGGCCTTCACTCATCTCCTCCCAGGAAGGCCCGTCAGAGAGAGCCTGCGCGGCCCCACCATCCCCATGCACTCAGTTAATTATATGCTATTTTCTCAATTTATTTATTTCATACCAACCAGTCACATGCCGCCTGAACGCTTCTTCCTCCGGTGGATGCCAAGGCCTTTTGTCTGGAAGAAGAAATTATTGTTAGTATTTTTAGCCTCCTTTCAGCTTTTCCCACTGCAGCAGCAAGCGCTGGGCGTGCGAGAGGCGGCATCGGAGGCTGCGCTCGGCTCTCTCCGCCACCTGCAGCGGGCCTTCGCCAAGGGTCACAGCAAGGCGCGTGGAGGGGAGGACTTGTCAATAATGTCCAAGAAATTAGCCTCGGATTTGCATGGAGCCTGGCAACCCATGCAGCCTATTTTCAGCAGTTTCCACGTTAGAATGTTAGTGTTACTTCCCTAAATATTATCATGGCTTGATTTCTCCTCCTCCCTTTTCGCCCCCCCCCCATCATATTGACCGAGATCCCCTGTGGAGTGGATTTTCCTTTGCAGCCCCCTGGCGGGATGGGAACATCGCTGCCTCTATTTCCCCTCTTCAACCACTGCAGCCGCCACCACCACCACTACCGGCAGCCTCAGGCTGGATACATCGTCTCCACCCATTTTACAGATCTTTTGGGGCATGAGCTGCTCTGGATACAAGAGGATGGCTGAAGCCATGCTGCGATCCCCATGCCTGGAGAAACACCTCGAAGCTGTGCTAAGGATGGGGGGGCCTCCCTGGGGATCCATGGCAACGAGGCTCTTAAGCTTACTCTTCTAAAGCTTTAGGGCTGTCTCGCACAGCCAGAGTTGGGGCTCATATTTAATTTTCTATTCGCCCATCCTTCCATTCATGCATGCACTTGTGTTTACACTAACTCAGTAATTACCCAGCATTGCAATCGTTTACTTGTCAGTGCTATACTAAGTCCTAGGGCTGCACTAAGGAACAAGACTTCTACTGTCCTTGCATGAGCCTCGTGAAGACTTCAGTCACACAGGCTCACAAAAACATCCATCATACAGCTAATTATTTAATTTGATACCAGTGGCAAGTGCAATGTTGGAAAAGCACAGGAAGCCACGATGACACCGGGCAGGGGATCTAGCTTGGTCTCGGGCAGGGGAGGCAGCCCTGCAGCAGGGACATTTCCGGGGAGTCTCAGGGGGGTGGTGGAGTTGTGTGGTGGCTGTGTAGACCTCAGGGCACCTACTTCAAGCAAGATGTAAAGATGAAATCAGCTGATGTACACAGGAGCCCCTGGACAGTGCCTGACACATCCTAGGCGACCAATAAGCCATCACTCACCCATCGTTCACCCTTATCCTGCACTAATTCAGCTTCCTTGATAAGGAGAAGAGAAAGCAAGGAATCCAAATTAAACTGCTCTCTGTCCTGTTTGGCTACAGAACCGAACGCTCTTCCCTCTTGCTGTCTCTCTGCAGAGCAATCAGAGACACTGGTGCTGTGAACACCCAGGGTAAGGAGGAAGGGATCTCAGAGATCCCGGGCGGGTCTAACGTCTTTGTACACAAAGGGAAACTCAGCCTGGCGAAGGTGATGGCCGGGAGAGGGCCTGACTGTCTCCTCTGTTCCCCCAGCGGAAAGTCAAGTCAAACACCTTTTTCTTCCCTGTGAAAGTCTGAGCACAGATTCCCAAAGACAGCTGCGCAGCCGAAGAGAACAGCGTGGTGAAACACGGCCCTGTTTAAGGGTCCCTCGGTGGAAGGTGGCTACAGGAAAGGCCAGAAGCAGAGACCACACTCGCCCCACACCTTGCTCACCAGGCAGAGGCCGGGCACCCGCTTTCATCAGGGGAGAAACTGTACCCACAAAAGCACACCAAACGTGGTGTGTTAGAGGATATCACTGGAAAAGGACCATTGTTTCAAACACAACTAGGAAGGGAAAAACTCATTTGTGGTAAGGCCAATGTGCTATTCATATAAAGCGTTTTGTTTCTTTCTCTTATGCCCGCCCCCCATGAAATATGTCTAAGTGAAACTTAATTTATTTCTTCTGAGGAACCAGGAGAATCCTCTGGAAAGGAAAGATCTAATTAAGTTATGGTCTCTGTAACTCAAAAGGCACATTTTGGAGGGGGTTCAACAAAAAAATTGAGGGAGATAATTAAAGGGTTGGGTGTGATAAAGGCTGAGAGAAAAGGCTAAGGAAATGCAAATTCTTTCTTTCTGAAGAAGAGAAGTCTATTTTGTGGAAGGTTATCGCATTCAATACACCCTGTCTAGAGAGAGTCAGCATTGGGGCTCAAGTTAGCTGCCAGAAAGAACTTTCTGGAAGCAATGTAGTAGAAGTTCTCCCCTTTCCCAGAAAGTAGGTTATCAATCTGAAACAGGAGCAGAATTCCCTCAGGAGGATGTGGTAAGAGAAGGAAAATCCCTTCCCCTCGCCAGTCGCCCACGACAGGCAGGTCCACAGCCTCTCTGCCCACTGCCAGGCTGGCCACCACGTAGGCTAAGTTTGTTGCCAGAGCTCTGCCCACAGAACAGACCGAACACGGAAGCAGGAGCAGGAGGCTGGAGGCTCGTCCTCCTCTCGTGGAAGGAAGGTTGATGCCGTGCAGCGCCACCTCCACAGCACACCCCCCGGGGCCAGAGCCAGGAACCAGTGGGAGAGTGGGGCGGACCCTGAGCCTCAGGCCCAGCCCGCCATCTGTTACTCTCGGTGTGACTCAGAAGTTGGCAGAGGCTTATTTCAGAGGCCACCTGAGAACTGGAGCAGACAGAGGAGGCCCTGGGAGCAGAGAGGCCAGTGGCGTTGCCATCGATTCCAGCGCTGACAGACGTCAGTGTGACTTTCTTGACTAGAACTGCTAACGTGTGTGGATTACTGAAGCTCCATTGTGTGGAGTCACAAACTTGACTTCTGATCCAGGTCCTAATCTTGCAAAGGGTTCATTTTGTCTAGGGTTCGTTTGTTGCACTGTATGAAAAAAAAAATGTCCACTAACTCATACCAACCAAGGATAGGACAGAACAGCACAAACAGCACACAAATGATGGCAGATCAAAACAACCAGGCGAGAGCTACACAAATTAGCCACAAGGGGAGGGGCCAGCGTGCCACAGACGGCCCTGCTACTCTCTGCTGGGATTCCCCTGCCGCCTGCCCTCAGTCCGGTGATGCCTGAACTTGAGGGTGGCCTGGCCCCAGCGCTGAAGACGCCCTCACACCTCGGAAGGTCTGGAAAGGACGCAGCCCCTTCCTGCTAGTTTGCCTGAGACAAGTGACATCCTTCCTCCATCCTTTCCTCTGCTTTTTCCTCCTTCCTTCCTTCCTTCCTTCCTACCTTCCTTCCTTCCTTCCTTCCTTCCTCCTTTCCCTTCCCCTGCCTTCCTTTTTCCTTCCTTTCATTCTCTATCTTCCCTTTTACTCGAAAATCAAATGAGAACCAAGAAATGACTGTGAAATGTCACTTTCTGATTGTGGGGCACCTTTCAGGGAGACAGCTTTGGGTTCTCTTGGCTAATTCAGGCTGGCGCCACCGCAGCTCTGGCAGGACTCTCACTGTCCTCGGAGCTGCAGGCTTTGAGCCTCCTGGTCAGTGTCAGGCAAGGCAATTCCCAGGGTCACATCACACCAGTTATCCGGGGCTCCCTGAGGCACTGACACTGCCCCCCGAGTCAGCCCAGCTCTACTCTAGGGAATGCCAGCCAGAGACATCGAGGTGCTCAGGGAGCTCAGAGGGGGACACCTAACTCTGCAAGGCAGTGCCTATGCTTTCAAATTGTGCTTCCATCTACACTAGGTCAGCATATCATGGCAAACTCAAAGAGGTGCCATGGGCTATTAAAATTTTTGAGGGAAACGCAGTAATACTAATCTTCCATTGGGTACCAGGTAAGTGTCTAAGGTAGTTACGTTTTCATTGTTTGTGGTAAGGTTTCTCTTGATGGCCTATCTGTCTGTAGCTAGGGTTTTGTAACTGATATACTTAAGCAAATATCCAACAAAAACCAATGTGGAACAGGAAAGGAGGATGGTACTGGTTTGAGCAACAGTGGAGGGCCTGACAGACACACATACCTTGCTAGTTAAGTAGTGACGATGTTTTAAGAAAGAAGTAAAAATGACAGTTTTCTTTCAATGTATATGTATTATTTTTTCAAGTGGTTCCTAAGTCGTTAACACATAAATGCTTATTAAGGTTTTTGGCTATAACTACTAAATAAACAAAATGATTAGGTATTTGTGTTGGCCCACAAGTTTTATGTAAAAAGTATTGAGACAAAAAGGTGCTGTCACCTGAGAAAGTTTTAGAATCAGTCCTTGAAGAAACAGTGTTAGATCTGGCCCTTAACACTGAGTCAGAGGCCAGGCGTGATGGCACATACCTGTGATGCCAGCACTCTGGGAAGCCAAGGCTGGGGGATTGCAAATTCAAGCTTAAGCTTGGCAGTTTATGGCCTTAACAATATTGTTTAAAGAAAACAAAAATTTTTTAAAGTGTTGGAGGCTGTAGCTCAGTGTGAAGGCCCTGGATTCAGTCCCCAGGGTGTGTGGATCGGTGGGTAAGGACTGACTTAGAACCAGCTAGAGAGAAGGGCACCTGAAGCGGCCAGGATGACACGAACAAGGGATTGAAGGAGAGTTGGTTATCATAGCAGGGTCTTGGGGTCTCATGTGTCCTGAGGGACACACCCCAGGGTGGTACAGCAGTGTGCTGGGAGACCACGGGGAAGCCTCGACAGCACAGCAGGAGGGTACCACAAAAGCGGGCACATCGGGAATGATGTTTGCGTTGCTGGCTGAGTGGAGCTTGGAGGCTGAGTCCGTGTTTCCACGTGAATGTTTATGCGGATGGTGGCGACCTCCCTGAAGGAGAGGACCGGGGCAGAAATGCACTTGGGCAAGGGGTGGCGTGGAGAGTGAGTTCAGGGGCTGCTGCAAGCTACGGCTGACCAAAGGCCATGGACAGACCAGCTTATTAGACACATGCCCTGGACTCTCTGAGGATTCCTTATCTCTTTCTGTTTGCAATCTAGGCATTTGTTTTGGGCCATCACTGAGTTTCTATTTCCTGTCCAAGGAGTATGTCCCACTCCTGCTTTACTCAACAAGGTTAATAAATACTCAAAATGCATGGTGTGGCGGTGCACCCCTGTAATCACAGCACTCA